AAATACTTACATTTAACCCTTGACATTCAGAGACATTTAACTCTTGAAGATTTGTACACTGTCCTAAAATAACAACAACAACAACATGAAGTAGCATCTAACAGTTTTCATTAACATCAGTCCAAAACTGGTAATACAAGGTAAAATGATATAAAGGATAGTTAGTAAAAAGCCTTGATTTTGGATGGAACTCCTAAATATATTTATTAGGAAGTAGGTCCCACTGAAGATACTAGAAGCTACTTCCTCATTCCAGATAAACATATGCTGGGCTTCACCGTGTCAATGTCAATTACAACAACAGAATAATGGAATTGGAACAGACTTATAAGACCATCAAGTCCAACCTCCTGCTCAATGTGAGAATCTAAATCAAAGTACTGTATATCTGACAGATCAGACCTGAGCAAAGTGCGGCCCGCAGGCTACATACAGCCCAAGAGCCGCTCCTGTCCAGCCTGCCGGTCGTTGCTCCAGTCCGGCCTGCCCGGCGCCACTCCTGTCCGGCCCGCCCATCGCCACGGCTCCAGTCACCCAGCACGGCAGTAAGGAAAACTTGCAAGATCCGACGCTGGGATCTCGCGAGTTTTGACTGTTACTCTTGAGCCACACGCTGCGGAGCCTGTGGCTCAAGAGGCCGGAAGCAATCCTTGCGCAGGCAACGTGATGACGCATCATGTCACCTGCGCGGGAGAGAAGACAGTCGGAGAGGAAGGCCGTGGGGGAACAGAGGACAGGTGAGTTAGCTCAGTGTCAGGTTTTTTCTCTCCCCCCCCCTTACGGTGAACGAATTACAATGCTCACATAGTTAACTCCCTAAAAAGTTTAGGGAGTTAACTATGTCAGCCTTGTAGTTCGTTCACCACAGGGCCTCACCCAATGGGGGCCTATTACTACCCACAAATAGGGATCCTATTACTACCCACCCCTGAACACAGTTCAGATTTTTCATGTGGCCCCCTATAGAAATTAATTGCCCACCCCTGTGATAGATGGTTGGCTGTTGTTATTTTTAATGCCTCCAGCACCGGAGGCATTCATTTACCTCCCAAGGTAATTAGCTCCATTGTGACAGCTTTTCAAATAACCCTCAGAAAAACATTCATCAAGGATCAGGGTGGCTATATCTAATTAAGTCTTTCTTCAATAATCCTATACTCAGGAATATATTTGGTTAAATAAGGATTACTCCTAGGAAAAAAATTTGATTCTGGTGTCCAATCATAGGGCTAAATCCTAACCAGAGTAGAATGACTGAAATCAATTAGACTTGTCCTGGTGTTCATTAACAACTCCCACTAATTTAAATGGGCCCAAGAGGGTTTACAACAAGCAAAAGACAGTATTTAAGTTAGTAACAGAAATAAATTGAGTTTCCCAGGAACAATATATTGTTAAAAGTTAGATACTTTCCAATGCAAAGTATCTGAGGTCTCGAATTGGCAGTTAAGAGCCATTTATTTTAATACAAGTCTTGATCCTAATTTGTTGATATTGACTGCCTGTACTTTGAACTCTCTTCATGGTGTGGGGAGGCAGACTATGGGAATTCTCAAGGTGGGCAGCTGCACTTCTAAATTAACACTATATAATTCTTCAGCACCTTCTTTCTTAATTTTGTATTAGGGCAGAATCCTGTGATTATAAGTGTATAGTACAGGATGAATACGTTTTTGTTACATAGTACTGTCAACAGAACCTATTTTGGAAATACAGGGCACTAGACTCTTTGCATTGCCATTTTAAAGAAGCTCTTCCAGTAAAGGTTCTGTGACAGTTTAAGAAGGCTTAAATTGCTAAATTTAGTTATGTGCTATCAAGTCAGAACTGACTTACAACAGCTCAAAGGGGGCTTTTAAGGTCAGTGAGATATTTGAGTGGTTTTACTGTTCCACATCCCCAGTGAGCTTCCATGGGTGAGTGGGGATTCGAACCCAGGCCTCCTGAATCCTAGCCCATCATTCTGTCCACTACACCACACAATTTTGGGGTGCCCAGTGTGGTGTAGTGAACAGATTAATGGATTAGGAGACCTTGGTTTGATTCTCTGGCTCTGCCATGGAAACTCACTGTGTGGGGCGGTGTAACTTGCAAAGCCACTCCTTAAATACTTCACATCTTGAAAACCCTATTAGGGTCACTATAAGTAAGTTCTGACTTCAGAGTACATAACAACACCAACAAAAATATAAGTTAATAAAATTATATAGTTTAAGGAGGTTCTACAACTCATGTTATGTTTTGTTAATAGATGCTGAGCAAATACAACCAGAGAGATACAGTACTTGGTTTGGGTTATTGTAGGGTATTTACATAACACCACAAATATGTGCTTTACATCTTTCATTAATAGGCAAGCACGCCATTAGCATCTCTCCCAAATTTATTTGCAACACATAATGTGCTGAATATATTTTAATAAGGGTGATTTTAATGTACCATTATGTTCATTTTATTAGGCAATCTTCCATAGAAATATCTTTCTAATATTCTGCTTTTCTCCCAACAGAGAGAGATTTCATATACCCCAGCTGTGCCTCCTTGATTCTGAATCACACTAGTTGAAGACTTCCAAATTCAGATTTCAAAGAAATACTCTGACTGTTCCAGCTGTCTTACAAAGTAATTGGGGCCAGCTGGATGTCAGGATGCAAGTGGTTACGATTATAATACTACTCTTTTTTTGTAAGGCATCTGACTTCAGGAAGACAAGAAATGGAAGTTCAAGACACAAAGCAAGTAATGGAAGGGCCAATGGCTTAAGAAAAGTATCCAGCCCTGTTAAGCGGAATACTCCAGTCCTTCCATGTGACATATACACCTATCTTCATGACAAATACTTAGACTGCCAAGAAAGAAAACTGACATTTATATTGCCTGATTGGCCTGAAGATTTAAAACACATGCTTCTAGCAAGAAACAGGATTCGTAAACTGAAGAACAGTATGTTTTCCAAGTACAAAAAATTAAAAAGTCTAGATTTACAACAAAATGAGATATCAAAAATTGAAGACCAAGCTTTTTTTGGTTTAAACAAACTAACTACACTTTTACTTCAGCACAATCAGCTTAAAATCTTGTCTGAGGAGGTGTTTATTTACATGCCTCTTTTAAATTACTTACGCCTATATGATAATCCTTGGCACTGCAAATGTGAAACAGAAACTCTCATAGCAATGCTGCAGCTTCCAAGGAACAGGAATTTGGGGAATTATGCTAAATGTGTATATCCAACAGAATTAACAGGTCAAAAACTTAAGCTGATAAAAGTTGAACAGTTGTGCAGCAAAGAGGAAAGACGGGATCCTACTGGTCTAGTTGTACCAAAACCTGAAATCCCTAGACCTGAATTTGATTCTTCTCTCTGCCACATTTATGTGTTTCCTGTGCAAACTCTGGACTGCAGAAGGAAAGGTTTGTATACATCAGCTGTGCATTTTTAAGTTTCTGCTATGCAAAACAACATAATTTTGCAATAATCACAAAATTGTAATTAACTGTAGACTTTCTTCTAAGTTTGGGAAGAGTAGGGTGTGCATTTCTGAACTTTAAAAATATAACCCAGTTCAGCTACTGAAACATTTTGTTACTTAGTCATTAACAATAATGATAAATATGTTGTATTTATGTAATCTTGCTGACAGAATTTGGCACATTTATCAGATAGCTGGAAAGCCCAGTGAACTAGAACACCTTATCAGAGATCCAGCTGTCAAGAGTTCAATTTCCCACTTTGCCTTCTGGGAGAAGAGCCAGCCCGTATGACCTTAGGCAAATACATGGCCCTAGGACAGCTGCCCTAAAATGCACTGGTAAACCATTTTTGTGTATTTTATACACAGAAAACCCTGAGAGGGGTTTTCATAAGTCAGTATTGACTTGATGACAAGCTATTACTATTATCGCTATGAATTTGCCATCTTGGTGGAAGATGAGCTTGCAGGCAAAACAATATGCTTAGCATAAGATACATTAATCGTAATAAAACCAACAGTGCAAATTTATAAAGTTCCCAGCTACAAACTACCAAAGGCAATTTAAAAAAACTTTCAATTTCAAAATAGGTGATATGTTAAACCTATATACATTTCCTCACAAAAACGTCTTTGTGTATGCTACCCCTAATATGTTAACCAGAGGAATTCAAAGGGCTCCAGAGCTCTCTGTAGTGGGTTGCGCTAGCATCTCTCTCAACAGATGTACCGGATAAATTATCCCCAAATACCTGATGCCTCAGGATAAAAAAACCCTTCTCAAAACCTATACCCCAGGAATAATGCCACATACCTAACACTTCGTAATTAAAAATTATGTCTTTAGCTTCTCTTTAATTACTCCAACGGCTTCTTTTGATATAGCTGGGTAATACTATTATTGTACCACTAAAATAATAAAAACTGGCAAGCAAATTGAACCTTTCTTTGGGCTGCACACTGCAAAGCTTGAGTGAGTAGAGGAGAAGCAGAACAGTTCAAAAATCATCCTGACTTGATATTGCAAGTGTCAGGATCTTAGTTAAACTACCAAGATAGAGCCATCATGCTTGTTTCATCAACCTGAAGTATGTCGTTTCACCTCAGACAATGTACAATGACTAGTCTTTCCCTTCTCTGTAAACAGAGGGGTTGCCAGACACTTGGTACATTCTTCCACATCTCTTATCATAAATCTTTTAATTTGATTCTGTGTCTTGACAATTATGTATACTACAAACTTTTTTTTCAAAAAGCAATCTAAGAATACTTTGCTTTAGATTAAGACTTGAAGACCAAAATGAAAGCTGGAGTACATTTATTTATTTATTTATTTATTTATTTATTTATTTATTTATTTATTTATTTATTTATTTATTTGATTTATACCCCGCCTATCTGGGCCAAACGGACCACTCTCCTTTTTGCATTCTTTTATGTATTTATGATATGGAGGGATAATAAAATAAGGGAAAATAAGAAAAGAGATCAGGTATTGACTGGAGGGAAGGCCTGGATGTACAACCATGTTTTTAATTGGGTTTTAAAGATTCCCAGCGTAGGGGCCGCGCGAATCTCTGGAGGGAGGTTGTTCCACAGGCGAGGAGCCACCGCTGAGAAGGCCCGGTTTCGTGTTTTCTCCTTCCAGGCCTCTCTCGGCGTCAGGCTCCTCAGCCTCACCTCCTGACTCGTGCGGGTGATCCGGATAGACCTTGATGGGAGGAGGCGTTCCGCCAAATATCGAGGTCCTAAACCGTTTAGGGCCTTATAAGTAAGCATTAAAACTTTGAAATTGATACGGAAACAGATGGGCAGCCAATGCAATGCGGCCAGCATTGGAGAGATGTGTTGATGTTTCCTCACTCCTGTAAGGAGCCTGGCCGCTGCATTCTGCACCACCTGAAGTTTCTGTGTCAGCCTCAAAGGCAGCCCCACGTAGAGCGCGTTACAGTGATCTAATCTTGAGATTACGAGTGCATGCACCAAGCACATTTCCTTTTCAGTACTCAAATGCATTTTAATTTTATTGCTTTATATTTATATGTTATACTGATTCTTTTATCTAAATGTCCTCATAATTCTACCCTGGTCAATAGCAGAGAAAATGAGGTTGCAGCAACAATGAGAAACCATAAAACTCAGGGAAGCTCATACAGAGAGATGTGGTCCATAACTTAGATCCAAACTATGTAGGGCTTTATAGGTATGAATATTGGAGAGATTTGGAATTTGATTATTTCCTTTTTGCTGCAGAGAAAAGTGTGGAGACAACTGCCCAGTTTTATCCCCTCCCTTGGAGAAGGAAAAATGATCAGTCTGAATGCTTCTTGGTTAAAGGAAACTAAAACTTACCTACAGCATATGCTTCTGTTGTTTCTTTTTACATACTGTGAACTCACATACCCAGACATATATCTTCAGAGTGCCAAAAAAAAAGGAAAAGGAAAAGCAGCAACAGGAACAACAGGAAAGAAAGGGGAGGTCTTTGATGGGCCCTTAGCTGGTAGTGTGTTCTGGACATACGGTGGTGTCATGGTACATCACCCTATAGTTTGTTGGGCAACTTTTCATCTGCAAGAGTGCAGTATCCATTTTGCATTTTGATAGTCTTTTGCATAGATTAGTTGGTCACCAGTCAGAATCTCAAATATGGTTGATTTGGCTAAACAAAAATTGGGGTGGGATTTTCGTTATCACAGTCCCAGAAGCTGCCTAGAATTCTCCAGACAGACTTCTAGAATGTGTATTGATACGGAAGCAGAAGGGAACACCACCTAAGTCATACTGTTTCATGGAAATTGCTTCAGTGGTCTCTGGGTAGAGCAGTCTCACTACCCATTAGACTCTATAGGGAAAGCCCCTCACTGAGCTATCCTGCCATGGAGCAATGAGGTGACTCCCAAGATGCAGTGTTATTGAGGGGACCTTTGTTACACCCACTAGTGCAGATGGATTATACCATGATACACAAACACTGATATCCACACAAAATATAGAAAAAACAATTGCACTTCCATATGAAGCTTAGAGTACAACAATGATTGGATAGCACTGAGAGCTACCAATCTGAAAGTATCCTTAAATGTGTAACAGCAAGTATCTTGGCCTTAAATGTGTAACAGCAAGAAATGCCAGAATCACATATGTGGAAGGCATCAAAAGATACAGTATCTTGTCCAAACCTCAATCCCTACTACAAAAAGACCCACCATCCTGTCACATGGCACTTCAATATTCACCATGCCATACCCTGAGGGCAAGTTCAGTATACAAATTACCTGCGGACAGAGTAACATGAAAGGAGCTAAAAAAGAAAGAGCCAATCAATAAAGTGTTGAGATCTGCTCCATCGCCTTAAAAGAAAGAAGTATCAATATGCAGATGGGATTTAATAATATAATTACAAAAATGTATAAAGCATAAATGATGCAGTTCTGGATAAAAATCTGTGTTTTCATATTTCTAAGATGTTTATTAGGAACTCAGTTTGCTTTGTCTCTATCCTTCTGTGGTGAAATGGATCATCCACTAACTGGTAGTATGTCCTGGAGTATTGCTAATTTTTACTGTGTATGTCTTAAAAATATTATGCATTTGCATAATCTTTTTGGCTACATGTACTGATGGGAAAATAATCCTGTGAGGACTGGAGCAGAAGTCTGTTATATCTATACTTTTCTTTTCTTTTTTCCTTTCCTCAAGAGTTAAAGAAAGTTCCTGGCAACATACCTTCAGATATTGTTAAACTTGATCTTTCTAACAATAAAATCAAGCAGCTTCGACCAAAGGAGTTTGAAGACATTAATGACCTAAAAGTATTAAACCTGAGTAGTAATGGAATAGTTCACATAGATCCAGGTGAGCAGACATTATAAAGATAAAGGTCTTGCTGTTTAAGGTTGTAACAATTTTTCACTCGTAGCTTTCATTATGAAAAATTGGGTCATATTCTCAAAACACAACTTTTTGGTGGGTGTGGGGAGGAGAATTAGCCACAAATATATTCTGTACCTGTCAATTTTAATTCCTATAGGACATAGTTCTGACCTATTAGAAGCAGAAAGTCCCCATTTAATCACATTGTGTTGTTCTGATACATAGCATTCAGTACCAGCAAACTGAACAATTGTTTGTTTGTTTGTTTGTTTACTTATTTATTTATTCAAGTTCTACCCCACCCCCCCTAGACAGCGTCTACTCAGGGCGGCTTACAAATATCATAAAATATCATAAAAACATCATGAACATTAAACAATTGAATCAATAATATAGTGTATAGAATGATAGAAAACAAGAAGATAGAATTCAAGAATTGACAAAAGGCAAGGCCTGCCTAAAGAACCAAGTCTTTAAATGGCTCTTAAAAACGCCCAGCGAGGGTGCCAGGCGGATCTCTGTTGGAAGGTTGTTCCATAGCCGAGGGGCAACTGCCGAGAAGGCCCGGTTTCTTGTTCTTTCCGGACCTCTCTCGGCATTAGGCCCATCAACTGTCCCTCCTGGCTGTGCTGAGTAATTCAGGTAGAACTAGGTGGGAGAAGGCGATCTGCCAAATATCGAGGTTACTATTGTAGGTCACCACTCTTGCCAGATATGCTAAAACAGACATAGGCAAGGATTCCAAGAGTCACATTTAAAATCCTATTTGTTATGAACAATCTCCTTGAGCTGGTAGTCCAAAACCAGGTCTTTTGAATCCATTATTATTATATTTAGAATTGGTTTAGCAATATATTTTCTCTCTGGTGTAAATATTACTCTAAAGAAACAATTTCAAAATGTATTAAATCATGACTATTCTATAAAAGCCGAAAATGACTTCTGAATTCCTTTTTAAAATCACTCTCACATTTCCTATAGTAAATATTTAGGTTAAATATAGGAAATGGTTGACAGATTTATATGCAATTGGAATGTTTAATTATTAAGTTTGGTTTTGCATTCTTACCATAATATACAGGTTAAATACATTTGGATTTGCTATACAGATGGGAAAAAATGTCCTTCTTTTAAAATATAATCCCTTATTTTAGAGTTAAGATGTAAAGAAATGCTAACAATTCAATTTTTAACAATATTTTGTCATCTACATACAAGGCACCTTCAGCTAATGGACAAAATCTTGTTGCTTAGTGTAGTAAATCACACTAGTGTAGTCCCCCTGTAATTCCATTGATTCAAATGGGCCTACTCTGTTTACTCTAGCACATTGCAGTTTGAGCAGGCCTATTTGAATCAGTGGAACCTAGGGAGTTGACTCACCAAATCCCCATTGACTCAATGGGCCTACTCTGGAGTGATTTATTACACTAAATAGGGCATGTACTAATGGGCCGTTTTGGTGTGGGCTGGTGCAGTCTAAATAGGGTTGGTTAAGGTTACGGGGGAGGAGCAACCTTAACCAACCCAATTCGGGTTGCCTTTTGGTGTGATCCTCCTGTCCAAATGGCATATCAGCCTCAAGTGACCCTATTTCCAGTATCCTGAAGTGGCAATTTTGTGCAAACCTAGTGTTTGGAGATATGAAAGAGTTCAAGTATCGCTGGAAAAGGCAAGCAGCAGAAGCAGAGAAAGAGGCAAGCTATGTATGGTAGTGCAAGAGGAGAAAAAGCAGATGATCACTGGCCAAAAGCAGACAAATACCTGTCTGCCCTTTGCCCTCCCCTTTGGCTACACTGAGTTTGAGGAGTGGGAGGGAGGGAAGCGGGGGCAGAGAAAAGTAGCTGGATATGCTGAGAAGGAGGCATAGTCTTCTACTGCCCCCGTGATCTCTCCAGTGGAGACCAAAAGTAAGAGATCCCCCATTCTGCACCTTATACTGTACACACAGTGAGAGAAGAGACAGGGAATGCTTGGAGAGTGGAAAGCAGATTAAAAAGGAAAGGGAGTGTGTGCATCTGACTAAGAGGCCTCTTCAACAGGATCTTTGTGTTCATGTCAAAATAAGAGAGATTCTTAACACCCTGCTGTTGATCCTCACGCAACTCTCCATTTGCACTTTGCCTTCTGGTCACACTCACCTTTTCTGCCTCTCTTTTGCACACAACAGAGGAGCTCCCCATGAAAAAAAGGGAGAAAAAAAGATTTAAAAACCCAACATGTCTTTCTTAAGTGTTCAGTTTGTCGATATCCTGAAGCAGCTCATTTATTAAGCCACTTTACAATATCGGAAATTCAAACCAGAAGGAGCCAAAGCAACTTTGATAGCTACAAGGCAAAATTTTAGTCAGAGAGCATACCAATCCACACCAAAAAGAGTATAAGCTCCCAACAGGGGCTGAAAAAGGAATGGGGTGGATTGCTCTGGCAGTAAATTGGCCTGCTCATTGAGTGGACACTGGAAAAAAGAGTAGACCAATCCACTCCACCAATGCACTAAACAAGGGGACAAATGCCTATCCAGACATGCCCTAACAGGATTTTGGCTATAATCTCAGATTTGTAAACAGAGATATGGACTAACCTCTGAATGTGAGTGCCCTTCTTTTCACAGAACAGGAAGAATTTAATTAACCACAGCTTCCTATTTTGTCCAAAATGCAAAATTACAGCACTGTTAGGCACGGGCTTTTCAGAATTTGAGGACTATAGCTCCCAAAAGTCTATAGAAAATTTCTTACCCAGATGTTTGGGGGCTTTAATCAAGAAATAAAACTCCTGACAGTTCTTTTCCAAGTTCTTGAAATGAATGTATTAAGACTAGACATGGGCTATTCATATTCATATCCCTGGATTCATTCCCTCCCCCCAGAACCATCCGGTCCACTCACTGATTGCTGTACAGCACTAGGATTCTTCGTTTTCATTGTTGCACCAATCCATGAAGGAGCCCGGTCTATATCTCAGGACTTTCATTTCTTGATTTAAACTACCTTCAAATTATGGTTTAAGATCCTGGTTTATTCCGAACCATATTTCTCCAGATAAGCATAGTTTCAAATAACTGGAATTATTTTAACATCTTAAATTATTAAGCCAATATACTAATAATGTTTATAATGTAATAGTATTATAGATTTCTTCTAAGCAGCAGAGAAGATAGATAATTTATTCATCATTTCAAGTATCTACTTCTTCTTGAATAGCCGCTTTTGCAGGTCTCATCAACCTGGAAGAATTAGATTTCTCAAACAACTCCCTGCAAAATTTTGAGTATGGGGTATTAGAAGACTTGTATTTTTTGAAAGTACTGTGGCTTAGAGAAAACCCTTGGAGATGTGACTACAATATTCACTATCTTTTCTACTGGTTGAAGCACCACTACAGTGTTCATTATAATGGCCTAGAATGTAGGAAACCTGAGGAATACAAAGGATGGCGTGTTGGAAAATATGTCAGAAGTTATTATGAAGAGTGTCCCAAAGACAAGCTCTCCATTTACCCAGACACATTTGAACAGGACACAGAAGACGAAGAATGGGAAAGGCACAAAGAACACCCAATGCAAACAGGAAAGAAACATGGAGTAATTGTCACTGTAATAGGTTAATTTGTCCACTGTTACAATCAAGCCTCACATTTTTGTAAGGGGGAAAAATCCATTTATATATAGATATATATTTTGTTATTGTCTTTGTTCATAAGACACAGTCTGTGAATATATTTTTGTAATTATTAATCGCAGTATGGCATTCATTACTTCTTTTGTTATAAATTTACAATTTTTAATCTGTCTTGTGTCATGTTTGTACGTTTGGCAATTACTTTTAGAAGTTTATGATCTGCGATAATATGAACCTTTGCATAGAACTGAGCTCAAGCCTTTTAAAGATGAAAGCCACACATGTTTACTCAGAAGTCGATTAATTACATTCAGTGGATTTTACTTTCATCTGTATAGGCACATGATTCCAGACAAGCAATGCAATCCTATACAGTGTTACTGAGAAGCAAGTCTTCCTGAATTCCATGGAGCTTATTTCCTAAAGTGTGTTTAGGATTATGAACTCAGTGACTAACACAGTACTGGGAAGCTATTTAAAATATATATGCATTTGAAATGAGGTTGAACATATAGCTTTTATTTGTTCATCTTTAAGCTTTTCATGCTGGAGTTAAGAAATTATTTACATTTTAAAATGTCACCAAATATGCACAGGGATGACAGAGTCATATTACTTAGCATATGCAAAATCAAGTTTACTTTATTGGTAAATCTAACTCAATACCAATACATTACTGAGATGTAGATTCTTACATTTACAGAAAAAAATGTAGTAGCAAAAGGTTGTACTGAACCTAATGTCACAAATTACACTGGCTGAAATCTTTTTGCTTGTTATCTATGCAGAAGGCAAACGGGGTAACTTTCAGTGCCTTCTAGGTAGCAACTAAGGAATCCCCAGTGGGATTATTGAGTGCATGCCAAGGCAACAGCCATGCAAGTCCCTGAGAATCCCAGCAACTTGCTGATTGCCAGATAGAAGCAACTGAATGCTACAGATTTTGCATATGTAACAAAGCAAGCAACAGGATTTCAGTCATTGGCTGAAATCTAGCCGAAAGGTGCAACAAAAATGGCTCCTTTAATCATTGGAATTTACAGAGGAGTTGACTCACCAAATACCCATTAATCCAATGGGCCTATCCAAGTTGCAGTTTACTAGTGCATTTCAGCCCGTGCGTTGTAAGTATGTAAGACTACTGAGTGGATGGAATGAATGGGTCAAGTACCAGATGAGTGTTGGATGAGTGTCTGGTAAGACCATTATGGCTATTGGGAGGGTAAGGGAAATGCCTGCACATAACTTTACTTTCATTGGCTATTCTTTCCAGCCCAAGGAGAGGGGAAGGGTCTATATTAAGAGTGGGTGAGTCTTGGGGAAGTCAGAGAAAAGCGAGAGAAACAGATAGAAAGTTGGAAAAAGTGTAATGAGCAGTGGGTGGAGCTAGATAGATAAGTGAAGTGATGAACAGAATAAGACAGAGTTGAAATGGGTAGAGAGAAGGGGGATTAGGATTGTATAGATTTGCATAAATGTTGAGAAGTTAGGATTTGTCTTGGGTTAAATAAAAGGCTGCAGGACACATCTTTATATTGTTTTCAATTTTTGTCACTCAAATCCTTGTTTTTTATTATTTTGTAAAAATATTTTATGTATCAAACATGTCTTTATTTTCTCATGGCAGTTACTAAATAAACACACACATTGGCTGCTTCATCATAGTTCAAAAGATGGGGGGAAAGAAAGGTGGGAGGGAAGCACTATACTTTTTGAAAAGTTTCCAGTTTAGGGACTGGTGGTGGTAGTGTACCTCTAACAATAGGCTTTGACAAATATTTTCCTCAAAGTCCGATGGAAGTGGAAGAAGGGGTCAGATGTTTTACATGTATGGAGACAACAGTGTGAAGGAACACCCTGGGTGTATAGTCTGGTAACAGCAGGGTCATATCTGAGGACAGGAGTCATTGTGCTGTAGTAAAAAGTGGCAACCCAGCTGAGGGAGGCTCACAGGTGTCAGAACATATTTTATACATAAACAATTTTTAGCTAGCTAATGAGAGGAAGACACTCTCCCAGAGCCACAGTATATGTAGAAGCTATTAAATTCTTTACTTACAAGAAAACAGTATGAAAATGGTTTCTCCTAAATTCTAGATTTTGTTGCACAGATAACCTCACTGTAGAAAGAACAGAAGGGATGACACTGCAGGTGACAGACACAGAAAAGCAGAGATGTTTCTGGAATGAAAAGCTAAAGAGAGAAACAAGGGGTTTTAAAGCTTACACGCATACAGCAGTTGCAGGCCTGTGCCTTAAGACCTGAAGCTCCAGAAGCCAAGTTATCTGGCTCTACAACAGGGAGGACCACCAGCGCCATTTGGCCTGTGCTTCACCTCACAGTGGGCCTCCCTTCAGCCAAGGGTGCATAAAATGTCTCAAAAATGGATGGCATCCTTTACATTAAAATATCTAATGAATCTTAAACAGCCCAAGGATACTCATCTGTACAGTCAATAAAATTACTAGAGAACAAAATAGGAATATGAAAGCAGGCAATGCCTAAATGCTGCAGCACATATCTGCATAGAAAGATTTGTGTATTTTCCTAACTGGCCAAAGAAAACAACAGTTTGGCTACAAGAAGTGGTGTACAGTAGCTTTTGAAAAGACAGCTGTGACTTTACATAAGCAGTTCTTAATGAAATGCTCACTCATTAAATAATGTGGTTCATCCAGCAAAATCAGAATTGTTTTATGTCTCCCTTTCACCAGCCAATATCATGTTGTATAATTTTAACTGTGCAATGGGGGTGACATCAGATGTACAGCAGATTGCAACGAATTAAAGAATTCCCTTCCCAGTCTTAGGATATGAAACTCTTTAATTCCAGTAATATGACATGACCAGTGACATCACTCTCATTGCACAGCTATGCACTACGATACTGGCCACTATTAATATAATTTTAACTGTGCAATGGGGGTGACAGCAGATTGCAAAGAATTCCCTTCCCAGTCTTAGGATATTAAACTCTTTAATTCCAGTAAAATGACATGACCAGTGACATCACTCTAATTGCACAGCTATCACTACGATACTGGCCACTATTAGTTAATTAATTTGTAGGCAAGAACATTCTTATTTACCAAAACATTTATGTATTTTGTGCAACAAACTGCTGTCACTTTAGAAGCAAGCACTTATTTTCCTCATCACACAGCAGTCATGTCGCTTGGTGCCCAGCAAGAAAAACAAGAGACAGTTTGTTAACTGGTAGCAATTTGCCACAAAAACATACATCATGGGAATTATGTCAATATATGTAAGAGGATCCAGGTGTTTATCTAAAGTACATGTAATAAGTATTTGTCAAAACAGGTGGAGAAATCACACACAAGTAATCTTTTGGTTTTGATTCTTGAATACCAATATGTTCACTCAGTAACACAATCTTCAGGTTTAAACAACCATTTAAAAACTCAGAACTAGGTCAAGCAACAAAGCATAAGGCAGCTGCATTATTTCAATTGCAAAGGAAAAAATATCAGTTTATTTCATTAGGAAAATAAACTGTTTTCATACATAAGATAGTTCTAGGAGTGCAATCATGTGACTCTGTTTCAGCAAAAACATCAGTGAGTCTTGTAGATCTTAAAGACTAAAAGGTTTTATTAGGCCTAAATATTTGTGCACTTTATTCTGTTTTGTACAATTCAATTGGAAATACTTATTTGTATTTTTTTATTTATTTTATTTGACTTCTACCCCACCCATCTAAACCAAAGGTCTACTCTGGGCGCATTACAAATTTAAATACAGTAAAAAACCAATAAATATATACTATTTATTATGTGGAAGAGGTTATTATTTTGATTTGAAATACTGATACATGTATGAGGTTATATAATTTCATAGACTTCTGAAAATATTCATTATATCAATATTATATAAAGATACCATATTTATATTATGCATCTGCATCAGAGGGGAGAACGCTGATGAGAAAAGCAGTAAGATTCACAGAGTGGGAAAAAACTAGAATGGTGCTCAAATATATTGCTCAAAAATATAATTTAGCATTACATACCAAGAACACTAGTACTGCTGATAGTTCACGTGCTGGCAATCTGCTTGCATTTTTTTTAAAAAAGGAAACAGATACTAAGGACCACTCAAGCTATCTGCTATTGTTAATCTATGAATACAGCTGTTTTCCAGAACCTGTAGCAGACTAGCCTGTGACTATACCTCCAAGGCCCTCAAAAAGCCCCACTAGATATTACTGGAAGCCCTTCTCTGCTTGCTGTGGCCCTTGCCTGAAGTCCAGCCTGTTTATGAGGCTGAAGACACAAGAAGAAATTCAGAAACAACTGGTGCATAACAGAAAATGGATGTTAGAGAAAGGCATTCCTCCTGCTCTGCACAAACTAGATAACATTGCTAGGTTGGCAAAGCAAAGATAAACACTGATGCTTCACATTAATAATTTTATAATCTAAATATGAACCAGAGAGAAGTCATCTATACTTTGTTCCACCCTTGGTTCCTATCCTCCAAGTCAAACAAACAGAGCTTAGTTTACAATGAGACTGGCTCACAATTCTCAAACTGAATGGCCACCAGCAGTTTTTAGTCCCACTTTTCTTAACCCATGCCAGTTAGAAAGGGATCTCCCACCACCATGATCCATAGACAGTATAATTTTATAAACTGCTGCATCTGCAGTCTGAGAGTGTGTCACTTTACATGCTTAGAAATATGCTGAATATGTTTTTTACACATCAGAAAAAGAGTTACATAGTAAGAAAGTGAAAAATAAAATAAAAAAAGAAGCATAATACATTAAAATGCTTACCAATACTTTTAAATGTAGGCCAATGAAGAGTAGCACAACCACGAAGATTTAAATGCAACACGTTAGTATGCCACTTCAATAAAATATTTCTTGCTACAGTATCATTCACCTTATCTTTTACTGCAGAAAAGTTTATCTGAAAAATAAAACATACTGCTGTAGAAATAACAGAGATTATTGTGTATCCTATCTGTTAGCGATTCATTACATTTGCTTTATTTTGAAGCAGTAGCTTCACTTTGGGCAGATGATTAGTTCAAGAGAATTAAACTAAATATACAGAAACAAGGAAATTCTTTATGTATACCTACGAATGTTCATTACTGGGAATTCCCTATATTTTTCTTATATATCATACATATATCATTTTCTCATGCTCTCTTGACAATCTTTTACCCATTTAGCTAAGAGATCAATATAGACTCAAGTGCATTACATCTGACATATTGTGCTCTTGACCATTCCTCCTCGTGCTGGCATTACACAAGAATTTGGAATAATACATAAATTCTCCTAATAGTAAGACTACATCACATAGCTCCCACAATCTGGCCCAGATTTATGAGTTTTCTGAGGGTGCAACCACACAGCAAGTAATATCTGTATGGATCTGGTGTGAATAAGCATCTGGGAAGTCTAGTTTCTTGGGTGAATTCACTTTAGCTGGCCAGACAGAAGTCAACATCTGGGAAGTCTAGTTTCTTGGGTGAATTTACTTTAGCTGGCCAGACAGAAGTCAGTGGAGAGAGAAGAGGAAATTGCCAATCAACACTTTTTTGCAACACTTGAGGCAGCTTGTACGAGAGAAGAGGAAATTGCCAATCAGCACTTTTTTGCAACACTTGAGGCAGCTTCAAATGTAGCCCTCCAGATCTGCATGAAGCATGGCTACATTGTATCCAGTATACTGCCTCTCAATGGTTCTGGTACTATTCACAAATTGGGGTCTCAGGTACTCAGAATGAGGATGTCTGTATCTCAAGTATTACCCCATGTTTTCTTGCCTGAAGGTGTGTTTTACACCTGGCATCTTTACTTACATTGCTCCATATTGAGCCGGTTTGTGTCATTGCTTTCCAAGTTCGGTTAACTTGAGCACATCTTGCCAAGTCAATTAAAGTTAAATGATGGAAGATCTAGGTTTAAAACACAAAATACTGTAATGTACACAAACCAATACCAATTATCCATAAGAAATTAGACATATTCTGATTTCAGACTATTCTTTGTCAAAGTACCTAAACTTTTCACACTATCAATTATTTTGAATTCATTTTTGTAATACAGCATTAGACAGCTATGCAAGCACACTGTAAAAACATCAGCTTATGCTATATAAGAAAGCAGTATAGTATATTTCTGACTTAGAGGCTGACTACATTGAAATATACTCCTCCAATTGCTCTGGGTTTAGCACAATGCAAATTGATTCAAAATTTCCTGACTACAAAATGTTATTGAAAGTGTGGAGGAAACAAGCAATTATTCAAGGAAGTTTTGCTATTTAGCACCCATTGGGAGGTTGTTTATTTCAAGTCACTCTAAAATGCAGGGCTCATACCTGTTTTTGGTTGATGTCTTGGTGATGTGTTTGAAGTGATGCAAGATGCTATCCCATTGGGAAATTATGTCCTCTATCCGAACTGTTTGCCTTTTTAAAAATGTTTAAATTAACAGTTCTACTTTAGTGCTGCATCACATAAGTGCTGGAGTCTTTTTGTCTGCAACACTGATGCAACACTATGCCACTTAGAGTTATAAAAAGAAGAAAAAACTCCAGACAAGATGGTTATGGAAAAGAACAGGATGCATACAGAGTCAAGACAGATCCATAGGCAGATCAAAGTCCAATTCTGGATCTATTTAAAGCCATTTAGAGAACTATGTACTCCCCTGGACAGAGTCAACCCGGTTCAGTTGTGGCTGCTGCATGAGGATGGAGGCAGTGACATAAAGAGCATGTGACATGAATCAAAACAATAATATTCAGGCATAACTATCACATTATTTGGGCAATGTAGACACACCCTCACTTTGTTTTCTTTTCTGATTCTCTACAATGAATTTGCTCCCCTTTTCAATCCTTAGTCTCACGGTGGCCAGAGCTCTATATGCTAACATGGTCTAAGTCCAACGAGAAGGAGACCCATAAACATATTAATGAAATCAGGAAAGTAGCTGGTTTAAAGAAATTGCATATTTGATGTAACCTTATTTCATAACACTAGATTAAACAAATATAACTCCTTTGTCTTTAAGTTTTTAAACAAAATATTTAATATGCAGGCTAAGGAAGGGATTGGTATTTAGCTAAACCTCTAATATGAACTGCAAGAGAAGCTAGAATCATGATCAATGGACAGCTGTGGATGTAAGTATTTCCATGTAAATTTCATATTTAAGGATAACTTAAAAAATCAAGCTCTCTGTGCCTCTTTTGGTGCAACCATACCCTATCAGTACTGAAATAATTACTTTTTAGTAAATCTACCGGAAGCACTCAGTCAATATGGCCATGGTATCTAAGAATATATAACAAAAAAACAAGTGATCAGCCATCCACCAGTGAGACAAACTTCATTATAATAACAATACTGTGTCATCAAGTCAATTCTGACTCATGGTAACATTTTCTGGAGGTTTCTAGATATAAATATTCAGCACTGGTTTATTAGTCTTTCCTTTGGATGGCACTCTATGACTATACAGCATGCCTAAGGTTGCACGCAGACTCTCCAGGTTATCTTAACTGTCTCTGTCCCAGGAGGCACAGTGAGGATTAGAACATCTAACCTGCGGCTCCACAGCCAGACATTCTATGCTACTGAATTATACCAGCAACAGTAAGTAGGATGAGGCAAAGGAAAAAAATACACAGTATGTATGAATACAAAGAACAACAGACTTTGTCCACTTTGTCTTTAAAAGTAAAGCTTTGACTCATTCAAATAGTACTCAGTGAAAAAATATATTCAAATCATATTATTTTTATGAATTCAAATAGATTTATTATAATTCGATGTATGATAATTTAAAAGGATCCTTCCAAAAGAGAAGTTGATGGTGGAAAGTCTTACAAACAGTTCAGCTGAAGCAAGCACTATGGAGGCCAGCACCTGCCTTCCTCTTTCTTCTGGGTTTAGGATTAAATCCAGGCAGTATATGCCAATAAAGGCTTTGATTGACTGAAATATACAGGCAGTCACATATTCCATGCATCATGTTCTAATCATCTTGGGGCTTTAAAATTATCTCATATTCCAGTCATTTTGTGTCTCTCATATTCCTTCAGAAATTCCTCTCTAAATCTTTGTCTAATGGGATTTTATATTTATAACAACAACATACAACTAAAGCTAAAGAAAATGCTTGTCAGCTCAAATAACAACCTCTTCTACAGGTTTTGCCTCATCTTCCTTCCTCCCTTCCTCCCTTCCTTCCTTCATTTCTCTACCCCATATTTCCTCTGTAGAAGTACTCAATGTAGCTCACAGATGGTTTTAAAACACAAATATTAAAACAATTGCAAAATATAAAAATCCCATTATTAAAAATAATTAAGCATATTAATTATTAAAATACAGAAAACAAAACCCTTTTAAAATTGATGCTGCTGCTACTTTTATTACAACGTATCAATGGCATAGATATGGATCTGCAGTGGATTAAAAGTAAAACCTCTTTTTTCTGGCATCCACATTCTGGCTGCACTTTTACACTATGGAAAAGCAATCATTGCCAGAAATATGTAGCAAATACTGTAGAAGGGCTCATCATTCAAGCTGACAAACACATCCCTTAACTTAGGCTCGATAATTGTTGTAATGAAGAATGTTAACTAGACAAAGGTATAGTGAGGGATTCTTGGAGGAATATAACTAGATAACACAACAGCCTGAAGATGATTAAAATATGATTCCTACAGTATATGGCTGCCTGTATTTCACCAAATAAGTGAACTTCCATTTTCTACTGCATATTCACTTTTTTAAAAAAATTTAAAATCACAGGACCAACCTTAGCTAGCACTCTTTCTGGCAACTTTGACAAATGATCTTTCCCTGATCTTATGTGAAATGTTGGCATGTGATCTTCAGACAGATGCCTTGTATATCGACGTTTCTCAGACTGGTGTCTTTCATGTCCTTCAGCATGATGCCTTTCTGTACGCTGCACTTCAACAAAAAGTAATTCCTCAGCTTCTCCTTCTATATGCTGAAAAACATACACAAAATAAACACAGATAACATTTTCTTAATTCAAACTATTTCTGGTGTTCTTCAGAAAAGTTAATTTATTAAAGTAAAAAAATGCATGCAGCATGTTTTTAAATGCAAATTGTATCAGCAGGTGAAAGCTGACACTGAAAAAAAATTGGAATCATTTGAAATGTGTTGGAGGAAAGCTTGGTGAATAACACAGACCACCACTAAGCCAAGTCAGTCTGTTCTAAGTCAAATCAAGTCTGAACTCTCCTTAGAAGCAAAAATTACTACATTGAGACACACAATATACTTGGGAGCATCATATGAAGATAAGACTCACAAGAAAAGACAATAATGCTGGGAAAAGTTGAAGGTAACATCAAATAAGAGAAGGACTGACTCAATAAAAAGTCTTTAGTTTGCAATGGTTGAGCAATACTATTGAACATTTTGGAAGTCACTAATTCACAGGGTTGGCATACATTTGAAGGACCTTGACAGCAAAGGGATAGGTTCTTTAACTCAATCTGATTAAAATATATATCAGTTTGTTTACTTTTTCATTTACTCTTCATTGAAAGAGGTTTCTTGAAAATACTGTATGAGCATAGTTATCTTGCTACATTTCTTCTATTTTAGTGTGTATATTTCTGAACTGATAGCTAGTGATGTACTTAAACTTTGATGAATATGTGAATAAATCATACAGTGCAATGCTCAATTATTCTTGATTAATCTCCAACACTGAAAAATAAAGGAATAAAACAGTTTTAAAGTTACTTTCTAGTACCTTGCAAACTTAGTTCAACTGAAAGATATTAGGGCATGCAAAAATAAATGCTTTAGGAACAGAAGTTATGGCAATTCCAACATCAACAATTCTACTCACAGGTGTATAAACAGAAATTACAGGAAGGGTTTCAGTTATCTAAGCCAACATTAGACTTGTTCTGCTTCCAATTTGCCACATTAGAACGACAGCAAAGAATGGTAGGCATTTCTTTCTTCTTTTGTAGCAAGACATACAACGTGGTACGTGAAGACTTGCCATGATGACCAGGCATTTTTCTGTGTAAACTACTTTATCCATGCTGATCCTACCATTTGTAGTGTCCATGCAGAAAAATGGTAAGGAGCTTTAGTGTGGTATACAGCAATGTTCTTTTCTGTGTCCAATGGTTAAGGTGCTGAATATTATTAAGTTACTAGTAGACATATGCAAAGCATCAGAAATTACTAGAAATTACTTGGGGAAGATTTCAAGTGCTGGAAGCCAGTCGAATAACCAAGTTGATTACCTGTAGTATTCTGGGATGAGAAGTTCAAAAAATATAAAGCATATCCCAGTTGAATAGTCCTAGTAGGTGGTATACTTTGATGTCTGCCATCCTTTGACATCTATTTTATTATCAGCATTCTTATTAGTGAGATGCTTTGTTACAATTTTTCCAATTACTGAAATGTAAACATTCAAGACGTTGGTTCGCAGAGATGTGCTTAATCAATAGGCATAGTAGGGATACTTACCACTCATTAAAAATGCTTTTGACAGGTGTGCCACCCCTGCGAGGCAAGACTAAGGCACTAGTTTTGGCCCAGGGCCCTCCTCTTAGGGTTTAAGGAGTGACATAGGTGTTTTGTGAGGTCCCTGTGGGCCTATACCTTCTTGTGTCTTTGGCCCAGGGCCCTCCTCTTAGGGTTTAGGGAGTGACGTAGGTGTTTTGTGTGGAGATGGTAATAGAGGGACGTGAGTCCACGCCTTGGCCCATGACTTGTGTTTTCTTCAGGCTGATTGTTAGTCCAAAGTCTTGGCAGGCCTTGCTAAAATGATTCATGAGATGTTGGAGGTCTTCAGCAGAGTGGGCAACAATGGCTGAGGGAATGAAAAGCACTACAGTTTTTGATGGCTCAACATCAGATCCCTTTGAAATCTGAAGTGGAGTGAAACAGGGCTGTGTCCTCACACAAACCCTTTTTGGGATTTTTTTTCCTGACATGCTGAAGCATGCCTTTGGAACTGCAACAGAAGGTGTCTATCTCCAGACTAGATCAGATGGAAAGCTGTTCAATTTCTCTAGTTTGAGAGCAAGGACCAAAGTCCAACTGAAACGCATACGGGACTTCCTCTTTGCACGGTTATCGATCTGCTTGTCGGGTTTCACCCTGAACCCCACGCACCCTGTGATGTTAACAGACCGTGGCGAGGTAGCACCTCACTGGCTGGGGGCTGCCCAGCTTAAGGCAGGCGGTATCTACCTAGTGAGGTGCAGTTACCTCTCCCACCATCAGAAGTAGCCCCTGGCATCATGCTCTATGCCAATCGAGCAAAGACTTATAACTGATTATTACAACAAAGAGAGAACCCTGCCTGCATTCCCTGGAGGATGGCCCTGGGCCAATACTAGGACCTTAGTCTTACCTTGCAGGGGTGGCACACCTGTCAAAAGTGCTTTTGATGAGTGGTAGGTATCCCTACTACTAACAGGTGCATGTTCTGGAAAGGTATAGAAGGGTTAGTTTTTTTGGTCATTGCTGAGCTTCAGCACACATAAGACTACAGAAGGCACAGCACAACTGATTTCCAGGGGTTGCCTGCTGCCATTCTCCCAGTGTGTAGAAGGGGCATGAGGATTCTCTCTACATTATTCTTTTATTGCTTTTATTGCTTTTTAGCTTACTGTCTCTTCTCTCTGTAATAAAGTCTTGCACCTTTTCTTCCATCAATGTGTTAATTGACATTGCATTCCAAAAGAACCCTTCTCCACCTTGGCCAGATACCATTTCTCTAACCTATCATATAAATTGTTAAATAGTTATGAGGTGTGTAGTTCTTCTCACTCTGGACAACTCTATAATTTTTCCTTTATACCACATCTTTCTACACATACTTGTTTCTGTATACTACATTTATTGCATTCATGCTTACTCAGATCAGCAGCAGGAGGCAAAAAGGGGTAATTGTATAGACTCAAGGAATAGGAGTTAAAATTGAATATATAGTGATGTATCTATTGTAGTAGTCTGCAAATAACAACTCTGGTAACATACCTCCACATGTCTTTTAGACTTCCTATTAGAAAAAGTTTGTTTTCGCCAAGCCTTTAAAATAATCTTCTGTAAAGTATGATCAAAAGCTTTTTCTATCCTTTTTGCTGCCCCTGGGGGAAAAATAATTTGAAAAACAGGCATTTTGGTAAAAATCACTTTAATTAATTATTATTTGGCTTAAAGAATTGTTGAATTAAAATGACCTACCCTGTTTCCCCGAAAATAAGACCTAACCTGAAAATAAGCCCTAGTAGGATTTTTCACAATGCTCGTAATATAAGCCCTATCCCAAAAATAAGCCTTAGTTAAGTGAAACTCCACCCTCCACCATTGTACAGCATTATGCAGCAACCAGAAGATGACATGACTGTAAAATAAAACATTCCCTGAAAATAAGCCCTAATGTGTTTTCTTGGAGCAAAAATTAATATAAGACCCTGTCTTATTTTTGGGGAAACATGGTAATATCAGGTCTGGTTTGGAACATCACTTAAATTTTTATAAGTTTGGTGACCTACAGTGAGGTTTGGGTTTAAGTGCGCTTGGTATGTCCTCCTGTGCTTTTGTATGAGGAAAACAGCAAAATCTTCCACGTTTGTATAAACCTCATTTTCTCATTCTATACGAGCTTAGTGAACGATGGTTTATTCAAACCAAACTAATATCTTGCTTTGTTAAACCATAATTTGATTCTAGCTTGTTACGGCTACATAACTTATTTTTTAACTGAACTAAGTGTTGGGCGGCTGTTTCTACATGCACAACATCCCTGCAAAGACTTGTACATGTGGTTAACCAGTTATTGAAAATACCTGTCTGTTCAGATCATTCAGTGAGCACCTACTGAAAAATGATTTGAACATAGTTGCCACATAATTACTAATGAATTATGGATATTGCCAAGATTTAGGGAGCAACCATTCAGCTACTAGGCATGAACATACCTGAGCAAGGAGATGAGCCCTGAAATATATCTTGCACCTAGCAAAAATGCCCTGGTAATAAGGAAAATACTTTAAGCAGCTAGTTTGATTTGAAACAATCCTTAGTCAGGGACAGCCAGGTAGACAGCCATTTCTTTACTTCTTTTTTTTTTTACACTTTGTCCCACCTACTGGCAAAAGCATCCAATTAAGGGTGTCACTATGCAAAGCAAGAGACAATGTTGTTCTACAGAGTGAAAAGTTACAATGAAGGTGGGCCAGGGACATTTCTAATTTGTATAAAACATGCAAAACATGAGACTTCAACCTTCTGGTTTGCTGCTTTCATCTTGAAGTGTCTGCTCCTATACTCACTTACCTGGGAATAAATCCCATTGAGTTCAAAGACAAATAAAGGTTTGGAAGTACTATAAGAATAAACCTAGCATTTGTTCAAAAGTACACGCTGATAAATTTTGAGCTAACTCACAATCATCTATTGTTCTCTGATGTAAACTTTTATGCATTGTGAAAATTAAATGAAATAAAGTTCAGAATCATCTCATGTCAAAATCCTAGAAAAATCATTCACTGTGTTTCCTCTCATCAGATTTCTATACAGTGGTGCCTCGCTTAGCGATTGCTCTGTTTAACGATGAAATCGCTTAGCAATACATTTGTTGTGATCGCAAAAGCGATTGCTTTGCGATGTTCTCTATGGGGAAAATCCGCTTTGCGATGATCACAGGGAAGCGATTATCGCAAAGCCCCCATTTTCGGCCACCTCATCGGCGGTTCCAAAATGGCCGCCGGATAAACAAAATGGCCACCCTCTGTGTTTAGAGATGGATTCCTCGTTTAAGAGGCAGCAAAAATGGCCGCTGTATGGAGGATCTTCGCTTAAAGGTTAATTTTAAGCCCATAGGAATGCATTGAAGGGGTTTCAATGTGTTTCTATGGGCTTTTTAATATCGCTTAGTGACATTTTCGTTCTGCAGTGATTTTTGTGAAACGGATTAACGTCGCTAAGCAAGGCACCACTGTATTACTAACGTAGTGACAGCTAATAACAAGTAAAAAAAAAACACAGATAAAGAAACAAAACATTGGCTAAAATCTAGTAAAGGTAAAGGTTCGCCTTGACATTTTTAGTCCAGTCGTGTCCGACTCTAGGGGGCGGTGCTCATCCCGTTTTTCAAGCCACAGAGCCAGCACTTGTCCAAAGACAGTTTCCGTTGCAATAGGCCCATTGAATCAATAGAGTTAATTCACCAAATCTCTACTGATTCAAATGTCCATTTCGTGGGGACATGGGAAACGATCTTCTCTATTGCTGCTCTGAGACTTTAGAACCTCCATCCCCACCTTTGCTATCTTTCCACAAGCAGTGGTTTTCTCTTCAGGCAAGTTTTCCCTTAATGACTGGCTGCCTAAGTGGATGTTTTAAATGGATTGTTGTGCCCTACTGTTTTGAATGAGTTTCTGCTGTTGCTTTTGTGTACTGTTTTATTAGCGTATTATTGTTTGATCCTTTTTACTATTTACCCAATCAGGCTGCCATCCCATGCTGACATGGTCCACAAAACATTTGCTAACTGGCTTACCCCCTCCGCGTATTCTGCTGCCATTCGAAGAAAGAAAGGAGAAGCTGAAGGCAGCAGTAGAAGGGAGTGTGGAGGCAATGGCTGCTGCTCTAGCAACACCTCCACGGTCTTCTCATAAGAAAGAAAAGCCAGCAGACGGTGGTGGTTGATACAACTGCAGGCTTCTCGTGACATAAAAGGAGGAGGTTGCAGCAGATGTGGCAAATATATCCTCAGGCAAGCTGTACAGAGAGATGGCTGTTTTTTAAAAAAATTCTATGCCCATCCTTCCCATAGTTCATTGGCTCTGAGCCCTTTGAAGTTAAACATTTAAGAAAACTAGTTGGCTCTTTATTAAGGTAGTCATAGTGGCAGCTCTGTAGAATTTCCCAGGCCACAGTGGCAAGGGACAGGCCATAGTGCATCCCTGGATCAGAGTGCCTTGGTGTCCAAGGCAGCTGCCTTTCTACAGGTAGTAGACTGTGTTTCCCAGCCATATGTCAATATTTAATAGTAATATGTAAATACGTATTTAACAGTCAGTAATATTGTCAGTGGTGGCACTGTGGGCTAAACTGCAGAAGCCTGTGCTGCAGGGTCAGAAGACTAGCAGTCATAAGATTGAATCCACACAACCTAGCAGTTCGAACGCATGTCAATGCGAGTAGATAAATAGGTACCACCTCGGTGGGAAGATAAAACAGCATTCCGTGCCTAGTCACGCTGGCCACGTGACAACGGAAACTGTCTTAAGACAAGCGCTAGCTCTACAGCTTGAAAATGGGATGAGCACCGCCCCCTAGAGTCGGACATGACTGGACTAAAAATGTCAAGGGGAACCTTTATCTTTAACTTTAATATTCAATACTTGAAGCATTTTTTCTGGTACTTTCCTGGTATATTTAAAACAGTTGACTGTTATCTGTCCACACACAGAAGAGGGCTGGTTTCCTTCTTCCTTTACTAATCTGTACTGGTTTAAACACAATGCAGTTTCCCACTCCTGGTCCTTCTCTTTCCTTTGCAGCTATGGATGCTCTTTCTTGTATGTACTACCAAAAATTAAGTTGAAACTCCAAATATCAGAATTCTAGCTTTGGGAAGATGGGAGCATCTCTTTTGCCTCCAATCCATGTCCTTGTCCCCTTAACCCCCGAACCCTTGTATTATTTTACAGTAGGATAACCTGATCTCAGTTCTTCCTGATGTATTTAATATTGTTATAACTTTCATATACATTACCATCAGTATTAAAAGGGTGTTTTTATTTCCCACACCATGGTTTTGTTCTCTGATATCATCTGCTAACACACAAAGAAGATTCTTTTTTTCTGACACAAGTTTAATTAGACATATTGTTTTCAATTACTTGAATCTTACTAGTTTCTGAAAATTGTAATCTGATATATTTTGTATTATTTACTGTTCTTATTCATAGGATTTTTATGTCCTAAAAGTTTTTGATTACACTATGAGGTGCTTTGGACAAAAGGCAGGACACAACTGAATGAAATAAATCAAAATTAGAGATATAAACATCTGAGTTAAACAATATCAATTGGAGTTATGCAGTGACTAGGTTTGCTTTAGAACAGACAGCCCTCAATGCTAACATGTCAGACTAGAATGATCTGTTTGGGGGTGATATGCGGTTGCAGTACAGAACAGCCAGGAAGCACCATGTTGACAACACTATTTAGAACACAAGTGCCTTGCTGAAGAACATCAATTATAATCTCGGCTAGCTTCATTGAAAAAAATCCCGACAACAAACTAGGAGTTAAGTGAACCCTTGAAAATCAGCAATATTCACTAGAAAACCATGTCCACCTCTATTTCAGACATGGAAGACCCAGAGATTTAAATAGATAAAAAGCTGAACGCTAATAATGATTTTAAGAAAAAATATTAAAATAGGAAAATATTATTTCCTTTTAAATGTCTAATCTTAGCTTAGTAAAGAAAACTCTTCTGTGCCTTGCTGACTCTCTCCTTTTAAAACTTAATCTTTAGCACTAGAACCTTTAGGTAATAGATAGTTTGATTAGACATTTATTCATTATTTATTTATTTATTTATTTATTTATTTATTTATTTATTTATTTATTTATTTATAGAAGTAGGGTGGGATAAGGGATAACTGGGCTAAGGATACATTGGGGGGGGGTGGATTTGAATGGTCACATTACAAATCGGTATTTTTCCCCATAATAATTCAAAATAATCTCTTCTAAGAATGATTCCAATTATCATACAAAATATATACATTATATAGAAAAATCTAAATTCAGAGAGGTATTTTGTAATTCCCATTATTAATTATGTAGCTGGTCTTTTTTGCAACCATGTATATAGTGGTAGCCAAGTTCCCCGATGGTTCTTTTTCTTTTTTGGATTCAACCATTCTGTTAGCATATCCATTTCTGTGGTTTCCAGTATTTTCCCTATCAGTCTGTCTATTTGTGGCATTCCAGACTCCTTCCAGTGTTTCGTGAATACTATTCTTGCCGCTGTTATCATATGGATGGCTAAGAATGCTTTTTCAGAATCTAATGCATTAGGCAAAATATTTATTAGAAAAATTCTGGTATCATTGATATTGGAGCTTCTAATATCTCTTGCAGTATCTGGTTGACTTTGGTCCAGTATTTTTGGGCTTCTTTACACATCCACAACACATTCCCTTCTTTTTGTTTACATTTCCAACATACATTTGAGAACTGAGTGCTTATTTTGGCCAGAGTTGTGGGAGTCATATACCATCTGTAGAACATTTTTTATATATTCTCCTTAAATACTGTAGATTTAGTTATATTTATATTTATTTTCCAGATTTGTTCCCATTGGTTTAATTCAATATTGTGTCCTAAATTCAGTGCCCATTTGATCATGCATGCTTTTACTACTTCATCTTGTGTTTCAAAATCTAGCAAGAAATTATATAGTAACTTAATGCATTTTCTTTCTGATTCTAAAAGAGTTCTGTTGAAAGGAGTGTTTTCTTGATAAAATCCCTGTTGCTTATCTTTAGTATACCTTGATATTAATTGTGACCGCGCCCACCAAACCGTTTCAATGCCTTGGTCTACTAGCTCTTGTTGTGTTTTAATAAACCGTCAATATTTAAAACCCCACTATATCTTACTATTTTCTTATTTCCTCTCAAATGTGGTAGAGCAAATGCTTCAATTGGCGTTACCCACTGTGGTATTTTAATATAAATTTGTTTTTTTGACTTTATTCCACGTTGACAAGAGTGCCTTCCTTAGTATATGGTTATTGAATTGTTTGAAGTCTTCTGTTCTGTTATACCATATGAATGCACGCCAGCCCCATTTCAGATCGTATCCTTCTAGTTTCAGGAGTCTCATGTTTTCCAATGACATCCAGTCCTTATTCCATACCATGATTAGACATTTGATAACTAATTTGATTAGATACTTTTCTAGAACCCCTGTACTAGGTTATTTCATAAACCAGCCTATCCCACTGCTGAATTTTGAATGCAAACGTTCCTGGTTGAATTATTGGGGGCAGGTAGCACATGCCTTGTAAAACCTTCACCTGTGTTTGCTAGCCTATTTTATAATATTTGATCCATTGAGTACTCTGAACAGCTCTTGCTTTTATTTGAACTATAAACACACTTGTGGATATGCATGTGTGTGAGAGAGAAAGAAATGTGGTATTGCACCATCTTATCAATATGTTCTTTGGACTGAGAAATGGACTTGTGTAACCATTTTTCTTCTAGGTTCTCTCCACAATAGTTAAGGTCTTAGATAGCATCAGATTATAAACAGATAACACTGTTGTCAGTCCACGATTGTATGTATGTACCCGGGTAGGTGGGGCTCGTTAGCCTTGGAAGGCAGCTCATCTAGGAGAAAGAAAACTCTGATTTCAAACCTCTTCTGCCTTGTGGAAGGGATTGTCACTCTCGAATTGACCTTCTCAGCCACACTAGACATTGTTCCAAGACCTCAATTCACAGCACGTTACCATAGTTTCTCAAGACCGAAGGATGCCTACAGAATTTTACTATTTGTATATATATTTAGTGTTTTTAGCTTTAAATATTCTGTCTTATGATGTAACACTACAGAAAGGAGGGTAAAAATATTTTAAATAAATAAAATGGTCCTAATGAAGTTGCAGCTTACTACTGGATTTCAACCAGTATTGCCTCTATTTAAAATAGCTGTTTTTAACAGATGACTGTCTGCCACTGCAGTTCTATACTTGCCAGTTTAGAATTAAATCCTATTGAGTCTAATTGGGCTTAATCACAGATAAATGTGCATAGATTTACAGCCTAAAATATTTTAAAAATCCAAATTTTTTATTCAGTTTTGCTGTTTGTTCTGAACAGGTAGCAGGATATTGAAATAAATAATTTTTTAACATATCAGATTGTAGAAAATAGAATTATCACGATAACATTCTGAAAAAATGATAATATAACAAATTGTATATTTATGTATGTCATCTATAAAATAAACAGAACAAGTTAGTTAAAGCTCAGGATTTTAAATAAGTTTGTTATTGGTTTATTGGTTCATTAGGAGCCTTGGTTCCATTAGGAACCAATATAAATTAGTTCATTTATATGTTGACAACATGAATTCAACAGTATAATCTGTACTTGTTACTAAACCACATTTGTTAAGAATAAATTACCAGTAATTAATTTTTTTAAAATGCTCTCAGAATGCAAAATCTGTCCTCCAGGAGCCTCTAAAAGCACTATAGGCACTGTACATGTAATAGTACCTATCCAGGGGTTGCAAGTTTAAATGATTTGTAAAACAATAAGTGATTAATTGGTTTGTTACTGCCTGCTTCTAAATAAGGTCTTTCACAGCCCAGAACAGTATTGTAATATAGTGCAAGTCACACATTTGCAGAGGCTTCTGGGGGAGCAGTTTGCATTTCAGGGTACAAAACATTTTTCAGGGTGTTTTTCAGATCGAAGTTTGTCAGAAGGGACCCTCCAAGATCCAGAAGAGGACAAAAATGTTCCTAAGTTCTTTGGCGTTGCTCTGCTCTGTTCTATGCAAGATTCTTCTTTTCTCATGTGACCAGCAGGAGGAATAACCAATATTTCACTTCATCTTGCTTGTTATTACCTCTGAACCAGAAACTGTGGTTTAAAGTAAACTCTAGCAAAACCACAAAAAAAGAATCCAGTCTTGAAAAAAGCACACTTTCTTGTATGTGTTATAGATGAGAATTCTAGGATATTTAGTCCCCAAAGTTGCCTAGAAGCCTCCACACAGATGTCTGGAATCAGGAGAGGAGAAACTAGAAGGTAAATGAAATATATTACCATTGTCTGTTTCATGTATTGGCTGAGAAAAAGAAGGGAACGCCCCTCAGTCCCACTGCTTCCTGTGAGCCACCCCAATGCTTCATGGGAAGAGTAGTCCAGTGAAAGGCTCCCCCATATACAGTGGTGCCCCACATAGCGGCGATAATCCATTCCGGATAAATCGTCGCTATCCGGAAATGTCGCTATACGGGGCAAAAAACCCCATAGGAACGCATTAAACTCTGTTTAATGCATTCCTATGAGGGATAAACTCACAGCTAAGTGGGAATCCTCCATAGGGCCGCCATTTTCGCTGCCTCGGTAAGCGAGGAATCAGCGTGAAAACGCTGCGGGCAGCCATTTTCTTGAACCGGCGGCCATTTTGGAACCGCCGATCAGCTGTTGGGGAAACATATCGGTAAGCAAAACGCTTACCGATCATCGCAATGCAATTTTCCCTATTAAAAACATCGCAATGTGATCGCAAAAGCGATCACAAAATCCACATTGGTATGCGGATTCATCGTTAAACGGTGCGCTTGTTATGCGAGACACCACTGTATATTAATACACATGGAATGAAACAGACAATGGTGGTAGAAAGACATATCTTTTGCTTTCTGGTTTTCCCCCTCCCAGTATCAGAAGTCTGCTTGGATAATTCTAGGTAACTTCTAGGACTAGAAACCCTAGAATTCCAGACATTCCATCTCTAGTATGCACATAAGATTAGAAATCTCTTAAAGAAAAACTGAAAGATAGATTCTTTCTGCCAATCTTTTATTCCTTATGACCACATAGGAGAAGAAAGAGTGAGTGTTGGAGCAGACATTCCCTGCCTTATCCAAGCAAATACTTACCCAGCCATATATCAATAAATCATTGTATGCCATTATGTCTGAATTTGACAATTTAACCAGATTATGAACAGCTCTTAGTAAGTTCCCAAAAAAGCATTCCAGCGAGAATCAAATATTCCTTGTCAAATATTAAAAACTTGATCATCTTATTTAATACAAAGACTTACGTTCCTGCTGTTCTTTATGAAACTGCAACCATCTTTTCCATTTCTTTATTGCTGATTTCAATATTTTGGCTTCATAGAACTGTTTTGCAAGAGATAACTTTTTTTGTAAGATTTCTCTTTCAATTTTCTTCATAACACAATACTTTGTCCATGCACTGCAACCAAAAAACTATTAATTAATAGAGCCTTTGTTCTGAATGAAAGAAAATTATTACAATGCCATACCAAATATATGAAGAATATACAGATCACATAAGAAATAAAAGCTTGAGGTTACATTAGGAGGGAATAACATTTTGAAAGAATTACCCCAACCCAATGTCTGATTATTATTTTTACAAAAACATTGACTAGAATCCTATTGGTTATTGTGATAAACGGGAGGAGAGCACAAAAACTCTCGTTGGAGTGCCGTCCACCTGTAAGATAACTAAGGAGGTGCAAGACTAGAATCCTATTGGTTATTGTGATAAATGGGAGGAGAGCACAAAAACTCGTTGGAGTGCCGTCCACCCGTAAGATAACTAAGGAGGTGCAGACCACTCCGCCACCAACCCCTCGAGAACGTGTACACTGGGGAATAGACACCCGGGAGCTGGAAGCAAACCTATGGGGTATGACCACAGCGACGCAGACTGAAGGAGAACTGTCAGGAAGAGAAGAGCGGGGGAGGTCCATAGCAGAGGTGGGAATGGGAGTTATAAATAGGGAGCACGACAGTATACCAGGTGGTTGGGAACTCATCTGGGTGGAAGACCCATGGACTGGGAAATGGGAAAAGATAACAGTTCCATGGGAATAAACAGACGATCGACGGAGAAAAGGGCTTCCCCAGCGGCCGTCATACTGGGGAGTGTCTGAGGCGAGAGAGTGGAGGAGAAGGTTGAGGGAGGAAAAAGAAACTGTAGCCCGGGAAGCGGAAGAATGCTGGGCATGGTGTGCGGAGGAGGCGCGGACGATGGCGTACCCCCAGGACCGTGGGGTCCCTTCGAGAGAGAGGGAGACCCGTTATGGAGAGAGCGCAGAGATGAGGAGACACTACCGTTATTAAGAGACGAAGAAGAAGCTGCTGTCCCAAGTTATGACCCGTTCTTACCAGAACCATGGGAAGTTAAGTCTCTAAACCCCTTTGACTCTGAACTTTGGTTGCCCTTACGGTACCCGTTGGCCCCGCAAGAGACATTACAAAAGCATGCTTTAAAGGAAGTTTTACCGTTGGGTAATGAAATAAATACCAGTCTGGATTTCAGTTTAAAAACGAGTCCTGTTTTATTTGAGAAAAGTCGGAGGCTACCTTTGAACCCTCACAGTTATTTATGCTGTATATCATAGTGGTGATTTGCTGCTAATTAAAGAGCACTACTTATATTCCTCATGACACACAACTTAGGTAAAATCAGTGGAGGTTCTCCTTTCTCATTCAAGATGATATTACCAGTAATGGCAATTTCTGGTAATTAAAGACTTCCTGTCTCACAACTCCAATTGCTTCCAAATGGAAGGGATTATGTGGGAGCTATGGGAGCTGTAGAAAAGAAGTCAAAAGTGTTAAATATTTGAAAAATTGCCTTTCTACACTAAAACATCCTCAATTTCAGAGTCCCATTATCCTCTATATAGAATTTTTGTGAGGACTGGAGTTGCTGGAGAGGAGGGAATGGAGAAATGTCTCGTCCTGCCTAGTTACATGAATCTAAATCTGGATCCAACCCTACATATTGATTTAACCTATATTTCCATTTCCCCACTGAGTTCACACAGTACATACAAGAAAAGGACACCACTCCGCAGCAGGTAAAGGTGAAATAATCACCTGCCCAAGACAATTGAATTTGCTTCATCTTGAATCTACATATTCTATGTCCAAGTTGAGTAACTGCTTTACTATATCATACATGGCTTCCAGCTGGACTGGCAAAAAATGCAGCCAGATTTTACTGTAATATGCATGGAAAACATAACAGATTAGGTTCTTTAACTTTATTAAAAAGGTTAGAGTCCCAATGATAACTGCAAAGTTTAAGTGTAGGCACCCATACAGATATGAAAGCATGATTGATATTCTTCTCTTCAATGCTATGACCACAATAGCATACAAAATCACAGAACTTACTCTTATCTGTATTACAAGTACAGTTTGAGCATAAGTCATAGTACATTTGTCCTATATTAGATAAATGGTTTATATATGAAGGGTAAATATATACTTACTCAAAGCACATGGTCTTTAAATTAGTGCTATAGAAATCCCATGCTTTATCACACAACTCTGTAGTCATCTAAAATATAATTGCCCAAAACAAAACTACTTGAAAATGGGAAATACATGCATATTTTCTACAAATAAATAGTTCTATGCAGTAGCATTTTCCATATACAGTGGTGCCCCGCATAGCGACGATAATCCGTTCTGGAAAAATCGTCGCTATGTGGATTTGTCGCTATACGAAACAAAAAAGCCCATAGGAATGCATTACAACACGTTTAATGTGTTCCTATGGGCAAAAAACTCACAGTTCAGCGAAAATCCTCCAAACGGCTGCCATTTTCGCTGCCTGGTAAGCGAGGAATCAGCGCGAAAACACAGCGGGCGGCCATTTTGTTTACCCGGTGGCCATTTTGGAACCGCCGATCAGCTGTTCTAAAAACATCGCTATGCGAAAATTGGTAAGCGAAACAGCTTACCAATCATCGCAAAGTGATTTTTCCCTATTTAAAACATCACAATGCGATCACTTTTGTGATCGCAAAAACTTAATCGCTATGTGGATTCGTTGTTAAACGAAGCACTCGTTATGCGGGGCACCACTGTAAACTGTTGTAAAATTTAATTATACTGTACTTTGTTAAGTACTTCTTCCTGAGAATTATAAGTTCATGTCCACTGTAATTTATGATCAAATGTGATAAATTAATACAGAAATTAATCTGATTCATTCCAAATAATAACGGTCAGATTGTACTGTACAATACATACACCAGTGTGAAAGAAAAGCACATACTTGTTAACAAGCAGTAATTAAAAATAAAATGCTTTGGAAGGTGATGCGTTTGTGCATCTGTATTAACATAGTTGAGAATTGTTTTTTGGTAGTTATGGTTTGATAGATTACATTACAAGAAATAATATCCGCTTGTTTCTATTCTCTTACCAGGCATACTTTCTCCTCTGATCTCTCACTTGAGGATGAGGTTATGAAAGAGGGACTGAGGATGCCATCAGACAGGGAATTGTTTTGCAGTTTTGTCTAGGTTGTCTTTTTTTCAGTTACCACATGATGCATATGCCATTGCAAATCAGCCCAGCCCTGCTCAATGCCTACCCACACCTTTTCTGGTCCCTGTCCAAACACAGGGCTACTGTGTTTTTTCTTTTTGTGTCGCAGGATCACTCTTGTTTTAGTTTGGTTCCAGCAGGTGTGATTACTGTCATCAAGCCAAAGCAGCTACCTGGCTGTTCTTTTGCTGAAGCTGCTTAATGATCTTGAGAAATGGGAAATTTCTCAAGTGCATGCAGAGGTAAGGAAGAGGAAGTTTTGTATTTCTTTTTAATTGTTACTAACACATTGATGATGCTTTGAAAGGGTTTTTTTAAGTCCTTTCAAAGCATCACTTGATGCGCTTGTTGGTTAACAACAATTAAAGTGAAATGGAAAGCTTCATCTTCCTTTCCCTCTACAGGTGAGTTAGAAGGAAATTTTCCTTTTGTCATTATTGTTATGTGGCTTAGGCAAAGCAACAGAGGAGGAAACAGGAAGGGGTGTTCTTTCCTTTCCCTTTAAAGAGAAAGATTAGTCAAGATTGTGCTATACAGATTACCTGAGGAGAGGTGTAGCCGATTCTTGCATATGGATTCAAGATCACTCCAAATGACATATCACACTTCAAAGTGACCCTGTTTAGCACTATCTAGACTGATCCAAGCTGGAATTATTGGGCCATCTAGTCATATCCTGAGGCACTTGATTAACTTTGCCATTTACTTCACAAGGTATTTTTTCAAAGCAGTGAGGTCAAATTATTCCAAATGCTTATAGTTCTTCTTTCCATAATCCAAATTCTAGAGTCTAAAATTTCAGTTAAGATTTTAATGGTTTTCTATCCATTCTGAGGAATAATCAGGATAGGCTATAATTTTTATGTCACCCAAGGGAGGAAGGAATATCAACACCATGTGCAATAATGAGGTGATATGGGCAGAAAATAAGGGAAAGTGAGAAAAAAGTGACTGGAGTTAGTCACCTATATTGTTCCTTGTTTTTAAAACTAATCCTTATTTCCTTATTTAGTTCCTCATACCGTATTTTCTTACACCCTCATCTTGTTAAGCTTAAGCATATTTATCAAATGCAAAGTCCCTCTGAGTTCAACAAATTTTATCCTCCAGTAACTACCTTCTGGACAGCAGACTAACATTATGAGTTATTGGAGAATAAGACATGCCTGGTTTGTAACCCTTCAGGACAAAACAGGCTGTGTATCCAAGTAAAAGTACAATAACCATTTTTAAAAAAATACTAAAATGTTTACAGAACTCATTTATTAATAATTACCAGCTGATCATCATCAAGTCCCAAAAGCGTGTGTAAATATGTTTCTGAAATCACTTTTAGCCTTTGGCTTAGTTCTGGATCAATACACATATTCCTGGGGGGGAAATATAAATACATATTGTTGTTTTTGTCATATTCTATCATTACATTATAGCACGGTACATATAATACTGCCAGTCTATCTGGGATTTCCCATTGTCCATTAAAATGTCACAACTTACCTAATATTTCACAAAGTTACCACCTCAGATAACACTGCTCACAACTCCACTTGGGTGTGAACTAACCATCCGCACAGGCTATATAACAGGTTAATTAGGAGCATGCTGAACTGTGCCAAAAAACAAACAAACCAGAAACCCTAGTACTGTGCCAGAAAGCAGTGGGACAGCTCTAAAAAGGGGTGGTATGGTGTGTTCTAAGTCAAAACATGTGAGGATGTCATAATTTGATTTGAACCAGACTGCATCAAATGCAATCCAAATAGTGAGCTATATACTCATCTGGACAGGCCCATATATGTCTCAGAATACAAGTTGCAGAGGAACAACAGCAGGAGAGGGCAATTGCCCTACACACTGCTTGAAGTCTTATTAGAAGTCCCTGGTTTAACCATTGTAGTAAACAGAATGTGGGCTACATATGCCTTTGGTCTAATTCAGAAGGTCTGTTCATTTCTTATGTTCACAGCAAAGAACACAGACAGTATTATCCATTAATTATGATTCCAAGCATACATGTTGCTGTATGTCCACATCTAAGACTTGTTATCACACTTTGTCTGACTTTAATGCCAAGAAAGCAGAACACATATTTTTAAATCTCAAATTTTATTTGTTTTTCATAACTTTGAAACACATGTACCTACTCTTCTTAAAAGTTTCAGTGTATTGATAGTTCAAAGGCACACTCTCCACACATGAATTTATTTGACTGACTTTTGGCAGGATTTTCTGCTTAGAAGATAAAGCCAGTAAATTTCATCCATCTCTCTTATAAAATAAAATTCTAGGCATTTGTTGACTTTTCTATTTTAGTCAATTGGGAAGATATCCAAGGCTTTGGAAAACAGGCAAAGGTCTGAATTGGAACTCAGCAGAAGTATGAAGTCCTTCCAAAGCACCTAACCCATGTGATTTTCTACCTAAGGTACCTAGATGGGTCCCAATGTATTTATCATTATTTTATTTAAAATATTTTTTACTCTGCCTTTTTTCTTGAAAAAGACACAAGACAGCTCACAACAGTGAAAGGCAAATATATTTCCCTTCTGCAGTCTTAGCAGCATGCAGATTTTCAGTAATGTATCTAGTTAATTACTTATGAGTGACCCTTGTGTATTATGCACAAAGGGCTCATCCATACTGTCGCATTGTTCTTGGTCATTCTGGTATTTTTTGTTGCAGATTTGAATAGATCATCCTTGTATAGACACCCACACATGGGGAAGATTTTTGCTGCTGGATGCACTGTTCTGTGTTGGGTTGTTCTGATGCCATTTCTCTCTATACACATGCAGAATTGCTTCCTAAGCTCTGACTCTCAATGCAGATTGCTCTATCTTCTCTAACTTCTCCCCATCAACTTTACTCTCTCATCATTTCCCTTCTGCCCACCCTTCTGAAACCTTGACATTTTTCCTGCGATTTTTATAATTTTAATATTTAAATATACGTTTACTTTTCACTTTTGTGCTATGTGCAAAAAAAGTTTTTAAAAAAAGAAACAGCAGATATCTTCTCTGCTCTCTTCCTGCCTACTTCAGTATTTTCTTCCTTCCTTGCATTAGTCTCCCACTGTCCCAGAATCTTTACTTTCTATGACAGTGTTATCTAATTTGATTTTTTAATTTTAATTTTCACTTCTATGACAAAGTAACAATAATAAATAAATAAATAAATAAATACATTTAAAAAGAGCTGAATGCAAGAACAGCTGACACATCCCAAGAAAACTTGATGGGATCAGCAAGAAGGTGTGTAACAGTGAAGATTAAGCAGCAGAAACACATCCATAAAGAAATGTAATCAAATGGCATACATCCATAAAGAACTGGGATCACCACTGCAGGAAATTGAAGCAAAGCAAAATATATATATATATGTATATACCACCACCACTGGGTTGTAGAAGAGGTGTTAGTTTGTGCACGCATTATTGGTAAAAACAAAATAAAAGAATTTGAAAAAGAACAAATAAAAAGGGCAAAAATGTGGTGGCACCTTAAAGACTGTTTTTTTTTTAAATGTAAGATTACACGGACAAGTACAACACTGCAGTAGTGATGTAAACAAAACTGGAAATCAACTCTGCTAACACTAATTTTAGCCTTGTGTCTGGTGGACACCAAGATACACTACTGACATAATGGGTGCACGGAAAGTTGAAATATTTTCTGTGTGGATAAGCCCAACTTTACATTTCACTACCTCAGCCCCCTATCATCCCATGTTGTATGAGTCCTTCTGTGTCCTCATAACAGAGTAAGGAAACAGGAAATAATAAGCTGTTTTCCTACTTCGATACTCTAAGCATGTGTGATTTGCTTCTAAATTCACTTAGAGCATAATGTTATAATAAAAAGGAACTTCCTTTTGCAGCCTGGTACTAAACAAACTTACTTGATATATTTTAAAAGAAAAAATAACAAAATGAGCACTTTCAAGCGTGTGCCTATGCAGCCAGCTGATACCTGCTTATAATCTTTCAGTTGCTGTAATAAATGTTTATCCTGCCTGTCTATCAATATTATATATGCTCAGGCCGACAGTTAAGGCAGTGTGTACATCAGAGTAGTGTAAAGATCTCTCCCCTGAAATAGATAAGACAGTGGCCTAACATTTGAATGCCCTGGGTTACAAAGCTTTGAAGAAGCTAAGTTAGTCTTCAACATATCAAAATGCAATGAGAGTAACATCCTGTTCTTCACTGAATCAAGAAACTTGAGCACCTCTATGAACATTCTGCCTAGTATGTGATAAACTATAACCCCTCTCTCCTGCCTGTTCAAAATAGCTGTGCTATTTCTGCCCCTTCTGTTTCTTACAGAATACTTTTGACAACCATCTATACCTTTTGTTTTCTAAAAATTATAACTGACTCTGGATCCCTGTTCCTAAGAGTGCTTTTGAAGGTCTGCTGAGTGTGACATGTGCTTCAATTACTTGGAGAAGAACAAGTTGTAGAACCACACCTAATAGCATCAAAATGACAAGTGCAATGAAAGTTACATAATTTATTAATCTTATATTATATGGTCATTTTAATTATGAAAAAGCCCAAATAAGTAAACAAAATATGCAAAAATATATAGACACAAACAAAAGCAATATTAATAATACTTGTGGACAACTCCATTTTTCAAAAAAGGAACATGGGTATATATAATATATGACCACATTTTTAAAAAGAGAGAGAAATCCATGTCTTCTGTATTCTAAGCATTGGAGTGACCTGGATATATATAAATACAGCGATACTTAACTGTCATTTAAGCACATCTAGAAAATGAGTCATGGAACTTACATACCATAACACTTTGTTAGATACAAACAATTTCCCAATATACTTCCTTATGTTTCAGTACTTTATAATATAATTATATATAATATAATTACAATTATTTATAGTCAATGCAAAATATCTTGTACATACCATAAAATACTATATAGACCCTTTTCCATTATCTCTTTTATCTTTTCTTCTAAAAACATAAGTGGATCATCTGGACACATTATTAACAAACCACACAGCAGGGCCTGCAAGGAAAAATCCATATTTGCAATTCTGATAAATAAATATGCTTACATAAAAATATAAAGCTAACTTGAAAAGCTTAATTTGTATAAATAATTACTAGGAGTGCTCAGGTATTCATATTCCTAATAACTAGGACCTGTACTTCAAAAACACCTAGGGGGCTACCAAGTTCTCTAATCCTGTGTAATATTATAATTTTATTTTTAAAATTATTACTTTTTTGTCATCTTATATAGCATGTTATGTCCTGAAATTAAAGTGCACATGCATGGTGTATCTATTCCAGGACACCAGAGAGCTGTATCGTGAGAGCTTGGTGGGACAAAAGGATAAACCTTCTGAAAAGACAGATGCTTCTAATTGACTCAGTATGTGGTTGGATAGGTTTGCAGTTTCATTGTGTAAGTTCATGGTGTTCTTGTTGCGGAAGTACTTAAAATACTAAAATGGCATGTTGTCTGAAGTTCCTGTAAGCGTGAAATTTTACACAGCATAAATTATACCCTTTCCTCTTTTTTTCTGTAAAAGGTGATGTCAGTATAGCTTTCTCTAACATTTTACTCTAATTACAAGAGGAATCTCTTTCTTAATAACAATATTCAGGTGGGTTCTGGCCAGCAATTCATGGATAGCATTACTGGAAAGCAAGAACACCAATGACAGCTTGAGTAATGTGCTTGCTTGTACTGTAGTTCCCAGAATCCAACCAGGCGGATTCTTTTTCTTGGCACCGTCGTCCAAAAATCAAATATTTCCCATTTCTTGTGGCTGCCTTCATTCTTGTTTAAAAAATAAATTTCCAAGCCCAGCGTTTTAATGATGAACACGCTGGAGCTCTTCATGAAGGAACAGTGGTAGGATGATGGTTTGAGTCCCAGGGCATCATTCAAACAACACTCAGTCGTAGGAGGCACTGGTGCATCATTCTAGTCATTTTTTCTAAGTTTTGCTGGCTTGTTTTTGCTTTGAGTAAACCCTGGAGAGAAGCAATTAGCGCTGCCCTTTCTAGTGTGTTATTAGCAGACAAAATTAGCTGGAGATTTTCTTTCTTTCTTTCTTTCTTTCTTTCTTTCTTTCTTTCTTTCTTTCTTTCTTTCTTTCTTTCTTTCTTTCTTTCTTTCTTTCTTTCTTCTCTTTTCCTTCCTTCCTTCCTCCTCTTTTTCTTTCTTTCTTTCTTCCTCCTCCTCCTTCTGCGAAGCAAGTTTTGCTTCATATGTGTTTTTTCTTTAGTTGCTTGAATGCAATTGACCATGCAGGCTGTGGCTCAAGGTAGACAGACTCCAGAGACATGGACGACCAGGGGTTCCCCACTCTCTATTTACATAATGTTTTGAAGGTGCAGACTGGAGAATCACCAGGCACTGAATGGCCATAATTGTAAGGAGCTGTTAAATTGAAAGGCATATTGATTGTACTGATGCACTTTACAACTAAGCCATCTGCCACCTGTGACAGAACATGCTTATACTGGCTTAAATTTAAATCCTGGTTTGACCAAAATATAAGTATTGTATCCTTTATCTACTAATCTTTGGAAACTATTAAAATTAAAGGTAGTAGCTTTTCATTTCAATCAGGGTACATATTTCTACTGTTTTTATTTATTTAGTCATACCGTATTTCCTAGTATTATGTTACTACCACTTGTAAGTGCCATATTGACAAGGAACTGATATTATTAGTTTGTAACCTCCATCCCCTTTCTCTATATCTTATTGCACTGAAGAATCTATTCCAAGCTAGCATCTTGAGATTAGTTTCCAAACTATACTAATACAGTGGTGCCTTGCTAGACGATGATAATCCATTCCACCGAAATCGCTATTTAGTGAAATCATTGTCTAGCGAAAAGCATTTCCTCATTGGAATGCATTGAAACTTGTTTAATGCATTCCAATGGGGAAGAATCGTCATTGTCTAGCGAAGATCGGCCATAGGAAAGCCACTTTGCGAACCACCGATCAGCTGTTTAAATAGCTGTCTTGCAAAGCTTAGGTCCTGAAAACACCCATTTTGCGAGCACTGAGGGAGCTGTCAAAATCGTTGTCTAGCGGAAATTGGTTTGCGAAGCAGGAACCAAACATTGTCAAGTGAAATTCCCCATAGGAATCGCTGTTTTGCAAATCGCTATAGCGATCGCAAAAAGTCAATGTCTAGCAAAAAAACTGTCATGCGGGGTAACTGTCTAGCGAGGTACCACTGTACTGTGTCTCACACGACTGCTTCTTGTGTTGCATTTTCTTCCTCAGATCCCCAGAGAAATTACAGCATTCCTCAACTGGCTGCTCACACACCTGGCACAGCTATTTTTTTAGCCTTACAAAAGCCAAAATCCTGTTGCTTAACATTGTAAGTAGCAACTAGAGTAGGCTATTGACTCACAGGTGAATTATTGAGTCAACTTTTTATGTTTCACTCATTCAGTGGCCTTACTCTGTGGTGACTTACTATGCTAAGCAACAGAATTTGCTTAGACTAATTCAGCAGGCGACTAATCTTCCTGCTCAGGAGAACATTTTACTGTATTATACAAGGGGAAAAAATTAATGTCAGTTCAGACTTATTTAGTGCAGTGTACCTAAGAAACCTTCCTATCAGGATATAAAATGCATAGTAACTAATAAATCAATAGAACATAATTATAGACCTACTTCATTATTGTAAGTGGGTCATCTATTCAGGGTATATTCCATAAGTCCACCAATAGCTAAAAAGAAGCAGCTGCAACAGCAAACATGTTTGTTATTTTTTAGTAGTCTAAAATAGTTTTCACTCACCCTCTCTCCCCCCCTTTTTGGGTTGGACTAGGGAAGATACTCTGTATCTAAAAAACAAGCAAGGATATTTCACTTTCCCTAAGCAGGACTGTAAATTCAGTACAGCACCTTTTCCTCCAACCAACTGGTAATATTCTCATTAGGTTGCAACTGGTTCACCTAGAATGTAGACTGAATTTTGCCACAACTGCTTGTCACATTTCTGTGTGCCTCTAATTCCCAGTCAAAAAAAGGAACCATGTGGGGTTGTGGTGATAGTGGGATGTGGAATGGTCCTTAATCCTTTGTCTAAAGACCGGGAGTGACACCCTAATTCACAGCGTGTGAGATGAATCTGAAATCTACCACCCCCTGAACGGTTTCTGTAGTCTGGCTTTTGGAACTCACTTTAAACAGGGAAACTGGCCAACACATCTGGCCACAGATGTTGGAACTTTCTTGTTTCTTCTGCGCCTCCCCCAGCTCTATAACGTCCAGCCTGATTAAACCTCCTGTGGAGTCGAAAGCTAGCTTTTGCCTGTCGTATTTCAGAGGTCTAATAAAATGACCACCCGCCTCTGTCTTTGGATTGTATACAAGAACCACGCAGGGGTTTTCTCCCTTTTTATTTGAACACCTGCACTCCCCCAGGCTTTTGAGCTGGTAAAGAAGGAACCGAAAAGATGGTTTATAGAGTCGATTAGTTCCTCCTCTTTTCCGGCTCTAATAATGCCTTATTTTCTTAACTCTCCACCGGCCCCCTGCGGGACCGAAAAGCAAAATACACACCGTTACAAATGCTGACAATAAAACCTCCCACGCACTTGTCGCTGGAGGTGAGTGAATAAATCATCCCACAACGGAGCAGAGATGCCATTACTTCTGCCCCACCCCCCACCTCATTCTTTCGGGCCAAGCCCCTTCTAGTTGCACGGGCGGCTCCTTTACCTCATAGATGTCAGGAATGGCGTGTTTCTTAAAGTAAGCCCTAAGCTCGGGGTCGACGTTTTGAAACGTAGCCATCGCCGGCCCGGGGAGAAGGGCTGGAAGAGGCGAGAACCACCCTGAGGCACAACGCCGCTTCCCCACGGCTGCAGTGACCACTTCGTGGTCGCTTAGCGACCGGGCTACAACTGCCCCCTGGCCGGGCCTTTTGCGCGGCCCGCGAGCTCTCCAGCCAGCCCCTCATCCCTCCGCCGCCATTCAACGGAGGCCCCTGGAAGGCTTGAACTTGAACGAAGGGCCTGCTTGTAAACGATAAAGCGGATGAGCGGCTCACTCCCACGCTGCATGAAATAGTTTAGAAGCTGCCTTCTTGTTGTTAAAATGACAAAAGAGACTTGTGGCTTTCCCAAAACTTCTCACTCACTTTTTCTTCATTTACTTGTTTTGTATTTTAACTTGAGGCAAACTACAGTGATGACAAAACTGAGGGGAAAAATATGTGCATTTATATCAGCTCCAAGATAGGTTTGTTCATTCTTTTACTGCGCTGAAGATTTTTTTTCCCACCACTTACATAGATAATACATTACAAGTTCCTAGCCTAACTTTCAGTTTGGATATTCTTAGTATACTGTGAACATTTCAAATCTCTCAAGAACTGAGGTCCTTTTTACATTTCAAACTATGATTACTGTACTTTAAAGACTCAATGTGGTGGCTTTCTGTTGTCTTCACATCTCAAGATTATAGTACAGTCAACTGCAATGGTTACCATCTTGTCCATATTTTTTCTGTGACAAAACCTGGCTGGCGTCCTGTAGGCCTTGGCCTCCATTGGGCACTGACTTTGCTGCTGCTCAGGGTCAGGTGGGGTTAAAAGGGATTTATTTCCTCCCGTCTCCAAAGGCCTCTTAATCAAACCTTAAACCATTGTCTTCTTTAGGTGCTGGGCCAATTATATGCCACCTGATGAACAGCTATGGCTGAGGTACACAGCGTTCTTCTCTGATAGTCTTAACAACTAGCAAGCTCAACTTGTCATACTGTATGCTTTTCTGGAATACAGTCCTCTGTGTCAGTGGGGTGACTTCAATGCAAAACAAAACAAAACAAAAGATGGCATAACTTTTTACAGTGGTTACTAATACTGTAAACAGTAGTTTGCAAGGCCTGGTAACAAAAGTCATGAGATCAAAAACATACCCTTGGTCAAGCAAAGTTAATTAAATTAGATGCTTTCCACTGTAAAATAGATGGTGGGAGAACCATATCTTAGTAGCCCTCCAGACACTACTTTCTGGAGATGGCACTGCTCATTTTAAGGAAGGAAGGAAGGAGCTGTGTTAGTCTGCTGTTGGAGAAACGACTGAACTTTGGCATAAGTTATTGTAGATGACAGCCCACTTTATCAAATAAAATGTTATTTTTAAGGTGCCACACTAGTTTGCTCTTACTGTTTTCACTAATCTTCTTTCCTGATCTGTTAAAAACTGCACAGCAATAAGGCCGGCAACTTTAAAAAGTGGCTTTATTTATACGTTATCCCTCTTAAGTTTCTGCCTTACCACAACGAAAAACAGCAATAAAATGTGTGACCATGTAACGTGGATCATTCCACTTTTGGTGTACTATATCCTTTACAATCCATGATAGATGTGCAGGCAGGCTCTTAGGTGGAGATCTGTGAATTTGTGAAGTGCGCAACAGAACTTTAAGGAAAGTGAGGACTTTGCTTGAACAGCTGTTGAAAGCTCAAAAACAACAAAGATGACAACCTCAAACGTTTGACAACGGCAGTATACATTTCAGGTGCATATGTATTTTACAATAATTTTTTATTTTATTTTATTCTGGCTTTAGTACAGTACAATACTGTATTTCATTTGGATCTATACGAGCGGTCCCTGTGCGGTGGTTTCTTTTACATAGTAAACCTGAAGAGGGCAGCACAGTTCATCTTATGTTAGTGCTGTCACAGCACCTTTAGTTGAGCAGCGGTTTCAAACCTTTTAAAGATAATTAATTCATTTATATTCATAATGCGCTTTTCAACTACAAAGTTGACCTCAAGGCAGCTTCCAATCTTCACACAAAAACAAATAAAACCCAAGTTTCATCATAACATATAGTAAAAATACCCCCCGTAAACCAATCGGTCATTCAGCAACAGGTCTAAGGAAGCTTGCGTTTGCGAACTACAATTCCCAGAAGCCTCTGGGGCAGCATGATCGCAGCGACGCCAGTTGGGAACTGTGCGACTTGTAGTCCAGAAAAATAAAGACCAATTTATGAGGGGTGAACAATTAACAGTAGTCCTGCGTGCCTTATTGCTGTTCGCGAGTCGCATGCCATTGAGTGGGAAGAGAAGGAACGGCCCCTTTTCTATGGGGATTGATCTTCCGGGGCACTGAGGTCTTACTTCCTGCCGCGGGCAATGTCAGGCGGCGTGTCCGAACGGTACCTGTCCCGCGCGTTGCCCTCGTTTCTCCGGAAGCCGTGGTCCACGCTTAGTTCTCTCGGGGCGGCGGACGGAAGCCTTGGGCGCTGGCCATGAGGGAGGTCGGCGGGTCCGCGATCCGAACCGGGCTGGCGGGCTTCGTGGTGGGGGCCGGCGTCTGTTACTGCGTTTATCGGGTGGTCTCCAAGACAAGGAGGAACAATGGAGGAGTCGCCGCCGCCCCCCCTGCGGCCGAGACCGAAAGGGAAAGGGCGCCGCAAGGAAGCCGGGAGGCGCCGGGCTCCTCCGAGAGGCACGGCGTGTTTCCCAGCCCTCCTCGGAGAGATTCTGCCAGTCTTCGGGAAGGTAAACAAACGCTCAGTCCATCGGAGGAGGACCAGAAGTGTTCATTTTAAACGTTTCTGTTTGGCCCCAGTGAGAAGGCTACATAAAAACCGTTAAAGCCACTTGTTCTCCCGTGTTTCCAACCCCTTGCAAGAGTGTTTCAGTTCAGCCGACTGTGCCTTCCACCAGGACGCGAAAGCCCAGGAATGAGGACTCTCCTTTGGCCTTCTGGCTGGTGGTGGTGGTCGATCACCTCCCATTATCCGTTACTATTGAGTGTGTCCGCTAAACTAAGCCCCTTGGGGGTCCGTTAGCATCAGGGAGGAGCCACTGCCCATCCCCACTTCAACTGACAGAAGCTTCAGCAAGCCGGTTGCTTCCGTTCCTATTTGTACCATACCTGTTGCTCCTGCCTATTTATTCGAACGATTGATTTATTTGAGGACAGCTCAGTTTGCTTTTCTACTGACAGGGGCTTAAACACCAGAATTAATGATTAGTGTCTACTGAGTGTTCCAGCATTAGCTATGCTTCACAGGAGTTCTTTTGGGGATAAAGATTCCAGCCTACCATTCAGTGCTTTTCTACTGTAGTCCATAGACCACTAATTAGAGGCTAAAGGATGTAACCTCCTTTCCAACATTTTCTTTTTCAACTGACAGTCCGCATTCTGCACCCATTGAGTATGCTTCACACCACTCCAGATAAAGTCACAGGTCTTATTTTTCTACTGATGTGGCATGAATACACTGTATCCGTTAACATCCTGCCATGGCCCCTTCCCCTACTCTCTTGTCTTCTCCCAGCTAAATTAGTGCCATAGCAAAATGGTTCAATGTTTTTTAAAAATCCGCTTAATGTGTATGTGTGTGTTCTATAATAGGATGTGTGGATCTTCCAAACTCATCCCATGATCTGAAGGCATGCCACATACAGAATCTTATTCATTTACTTGAGTCTACAGAAGATCCCTCAGTTCAAGAACAAATCTTGATCACACTCAGCAACAGTGCTGCATTCTCTGTAAATCAAGTAGGTTATATTCCTTATTAGTATGGATCAGTGGGCAATAGAAGGAAACATTTAAAAAGCAACACTGCAAACCTTACAGAAAGTATAATAATAATAATAATTTATTGTCATTGTAAGTATATACACATACAACGAAATTCACAGAATCACAAAATCACAAAAAATGTAATTTATTTTTGAAGGCAGGGAACATCTGTTAAAAAAGTGAGATATAAATGTACAAAATAAGAGCTGTCTATATCTTAAATAACCAGTGTTAGAAAAGAGTTATTTTACTTGGCTTCTGTTATGTACCCATACCTTTAATCAAGTATTGTACCGCAAGAAAAATAATATGCTCATGACTTATGTAGCATCGGTGATACAAGTACCCTGTTTCCCCAAAAATAAGACAGGGTCTTATATTCAATTTTGCTCAAAAATGCATTAGGGCTTATTTTCAGGGGATGCTTTATTTTTTTTTCATGTACAATCTATGTTTATTCAAATATAGTCATGTCATCTTCTGGTTGCTGCAGAATGGTGGAGGGTGAGGTTTCACTTAACTAGGGCTTATTTTTGGGGTAAGGCTTATATTACAAGCATCCTGAAAAATCATACTAGGGCTTACTTTCAGGTTAGGTCTTATTTTCAGAGATACAGGGTAATCAAATCCTGAGAAAATGTATGCTTAGAGCAGAAAGCATTTCCAAATGCACATATGCATTTTTTAACTTCCCAGGTATGCTCCTCTGTACAGTGCCACAGGACAGTGTGACCCACAGAAGTAACTGGGGGGTGGGCTTGGTGTTGGTCAAGGTGGGGGAGAAGATTGCTTGCATACATCTAGAACTTCTGTCGCACATCCCTTTGGAAGTGGTCTTTACTTTCTTTGATTGTTCTTTTTGTGCTTGTCAGTTTAGTACGTTAACTTTTACAGTCCACCTTTGTGTGTAGATATTTCGAATAATCTTATGTCTACGTATTAGAGGAAAAACTAGTCTCTAGCTGGTCATTTGTGTGCTTTGTTGATTGAGGCAAAATTCCCATTCTAATTAGGAGGAATTTTGAGTCGAGTATTGATTTCCCCCCATTTTATTTAACTTATAGGATTTAATTCGAAACTTAGGTGGCCTCTCTGTTGTTGGAAAAATGCTGTCTGTTCCTGACACTGATGTTAAAGAGAAAGCACTGAACACCCTTAATAACCTGAGCATGAATATTAAAAATCAAGAAGTGCTAAAGGTAAGTTTAAAATAAGAAACTGTCTAACAAATAGAAATGTATTTGAGTAAATAATGAAACTTATAACTTATAACTTTTGACTTTTACTACAGTAACAATTACATTCAAATCAAGAAAAGTTTTCCCATTGATTTTAGTGTGATCTACCTTTGCGCTGAATGGAAGATATTCATGAGGTAAATACTTTGACTCATTATTTAAAACATTTAACAAGCTGTTCTGTTTAAAACTGCCAGAATGGTCTTCATAGTGACTAATGACATTGAATTAATAAGTGTGTATGCGCACGCACACACACACGGCAATAAAACAGTTTAAAATAAGCACACCTAGCAACAAAATATCAGCAGATTCAAGCCAACTAGATGACAGGCTGGAAGTTAAAACATAGAGAATGATTTTTATTTTGCAGCACAAAGACATCAAAATTTGGGGTCAAGCTACATATGCCAGTGAGGGTATTCCAAATGCAGGAGGGCACAGGTAAAAAATCCCTCACTCTGTTCACCACTCATCTGATTTTTGAAGGCAGGAAGACTCTGAAGAGGCTCTCTACTGAACAAAAGACTGTGTGGAAGACTGGCGTTACCTAGTACCTTTGTTCAAATCCATATTAACATACATTACATTCTGATATAGTTTTAGCACCAGTATAGTAGTGTTACAAGTAGATATGATGTTATGCCCATTCTCATTGGTACTGCAATTAAAATGAAGTTGTTCTGCACTTTAATTGACTTCTGAATCGGCAGGATGAGGCATAAAGCTTTAGATGCACTAAGAGTTATTGCTCTTAGTTCTAGCAGGATACCCCTGAAACTTCAGGTAGGGGGAAGAGGTCTGACTACATCTACAGTAGGTGAAGTGAAGTATTGTTAACCTGAGAAATGAGCTTCCCGGTTATTTAAAACCATACCTGATGTTAAAAATAAATGCTTATCTTCCTAATTCAGTTACCTTTATCTTTCCTTATCTGCTCTAATTTGTCTTGCATCTGATGATTTGGACAGTGCTGTAATACAGACCTCCATATAACTCACTTTAAGAATCCCATATATTTGGTCAGAATATCTAGAGGCAGTCTCATGTGACCTGTTAGGTTTCTTATACTGTCAAGACGTCTTTAAATCTGCAAGTTTTTCTGACAGCAAAAGATTAGCTGTATCCATGCCAGTTCTCATTTCCAAAGGTAGACCCTGGTGTTATCCTTTCCTTTTTTGTCACTTACTTGCCTAGCTTTGCACTAGGCACATGCCATCCATTGTTTCATTCCAAATCCCAGAATTCTCCATGCTTCTAATTACATCCACCAAACCCACACCTAAATTGTGCCCAGCTGGAGAAAGGCTGAGCTGGAAGGCCTCACAGCCTGGGATAAGGAACTTCCTTTTCTAATAGGAAGCTAGGCTGGAGCTCAGTCTATCCTTCAGCTGAGCCTTTCTTTAGATAAGTACAATTTAAGTGTGGGACTGGCAGTTGCAACTCACAGAATGGAAAATTCTGGGATTTGGAGTCCATAAATACCCAAATGGCACATCCCACCTTGGACCCCACTCAGGCACTATTGGAAATTAGATTAACACAGCTATGTCTTCTACAACTACAATTATGAAAGGCACTGGATTTAGCTAAATTGAGTTGAGATCCCTCAGTCTTATGACAAAGGAGGAAGTAGACTTACCCACAAAAATCACATTAAAATGTAAGTGTTTAAAGTACTACCATATTTTTATTTGTTTGTTTGTTATTTTGTTTTTACCTGTAACATTTGCATAGACTAACGTGGCTACCTCCTCTGTACCTAAATTTTTAGTTGTCACTCATTGCTCATGTGATCAAATAACATAAAGCACTGCACGTTTCTTCTAGGCTGTTTGGCTATCTTGAGTCCACATGGGCCTATTGTTGTTAACATACAAAATAAACCCTGCCCCAGTACTTCCTGAGATGCCTAGATCTTCATAGGACCTGTTAGGTTCTTTTAGGGCTTCTCTAAAAAACTGCACACCTCTAGATGCTTGAGACTAGGGATATTCGTATTCATATACAAATATGAATATCCCTGCACAGCTGGACCTAATAATGGTACTGTCCATTCACATATCCTACTGCAGCGCCAGTCCCACTCATCCTTTCAATGGCACCCTGAGCTCCATTCTCTTCCCGCTCAGCTGTCCACTCTGTAACCGTGCGGGGAGACTCGTCCTCCCACACCCTGCCTTGAGACATTTTGTGTGAACTACAGAGTTTTGACAGGAGATGAACTTTTTTCTTTTGACTGGAGAAAAGGAGTCTTGCAGAATTTAAAGCGCTTTGAAAGTATATGCTTTCCATCCGTAGACTCAGCTCCTGGGTATCTACTTTTTATGATATAGGCAGTGCAGTTGCTTCTACTTCAAACTAAGTGAGAATGTGTGATGGAAAGAGCATGTTGCCTTTCAGGTATTGATATTGGTGTTTTCATCTTCACAGTACAACCTGTTTGTTGTTTGTAATTATTTTTATTTGTTTTTGTTTTGTCTCTGCAAGGTGTATATTACCAGAGTCTGTGAAGAAATTGACTCATCTCCTTTGAATTCTGAACTACAGTTGGCTGGGCTTCGATTCTTAACCAATATGTCTGTTACTAATAACTATCACTGCATGATGACTAGTTCCATTCCATGCTTTCTTCATTTGTTATCGAAAGAAAATGAAAGAACACAGGTACAATATTACATTGATTTATTTTAAATCAGAAAAATCTTCACTATAGTAGAACCCCTGTATCAAAGGTTTCACTTTGCTATGGTTTACAGCAGCTGTATAACATACAAGGGTGCCCCCTTGTGGCTTTTGTATTGCCTTATAAGTTATAATGTGGTCTTAACCGACCAGATAGGCGGGATATAAATACAGTGGTGCCTCGCTTAACAATTTTAATTGGTTCAAAAAAACACATCGCTATGGGGAAAAAACCGCTAAGCGAAACATGTTTTCCCATAGAGATGCATTGAAAACCGGATAATCCGTTCCAATAGGAACGGATTATCCGGTTTTCTCCCCCACCATCAGGCACAGCGCTTTGGGAGAAGCCTCCTGGTGGGGGAAAAAGACTGGATCGGCTCCTGCCTTCTCCCCCACCACCCGGCTTCTCCCAAAGGGCTGTCCTGATGGTGCTTGCAGCAGCGGAGGAGGTGCCCGGTGGAGGAGAAGGCAGGAGCCGATCTGTCATTTCTCCTCCACCGGGCACCTCTTCCGCTGCTGCAAGCAACTTCGGGGCAGCGCTTTGGGAGCAGCCGGGCTGTGGAGAAGAAAGGGAGAAGCTGATCCGATCTCCCCACCACCACCATCGGGCGCAGCGCTTTCGGAGAAGTCTCCCGGTGGGGGGGAAGATCTGATCGGCTTCAGCCTTCGTTCCCCACAGCCCGGCTGCTCCCAACATCGCTAAGAGAAAATCGCGCATAGGGAACATTGTTAAACGGAGCGCAAGATCGCTCTGAAAAAGCCATCGCTAAGCGAATTCTTCGTTAAACGGAGCAATCGTTAAGTGAGGCACCACTGTAAGTAAGTAAGTAAGTAAGTAAATAAATAAATAAATAAACATGATGTGGTGGGGGGTCCTATATTCATGGTTTTAGGTATCTCCATGATTTTAGGGGGATACAGGGGTCCTATATTCCACTTTTATCATCTGATGACATCCTCTGTATCAGTCTAAATTGCACTGAAAATAAATAGTATGTGTAGAGGTAAGATACAAATAAAAAAATGACAGTAGGACCAAAAAGAGGCTCTGGAGATGGTGATGGGAAAAGGGAAATTTTTGACTAATGTGAGTGTCACAGTACAAGCTTCTTTCAGCTCTGTAATAATACATATTAGTTGCATTCAGAATGTGTTTGAAGTCTGATTTTGCACACATAGAAATACAACTTCCATCACCTTTGCAACAATGTGCATCCAGTCCTAATTAATTCCATCTATCTCTAATGGCCGTTTCTGATGTAAAACATGGAAATGCTTTTTCCTGATTTTCTTTACTTTTAAAGAGGAAGAACATGGTCATTACCCTTTACATATTCTAGTGCCACTAGCCAACTTAGAGAAAATCTTACTCTTAATTAAAAGAATTGTTTAATTAGAGTATTGAAATAATTACTTGACATTCAATTACAGAAGACCTCAGAATTAGTGTATCTCATCCAGTACTTTTCTAGTTCAGAATAGTGTCAGTACCACAAGGTGGCACTTCATAACAGTATTCAGAAAGCAGTGTTACTGTCTTTGAAATGTGGATGAGAAATTGTTTTCATCAGTATAGAACAGTCAATAGAATGCATTTGCTGTTTGGATTATGGAGCCACTCCAGGTGAAAATGTACTTTCCCAAGAAAGTCAGGGTTGATCTGCATTGTGAAAATGGTTGATTTTTATGTCGACAAAGGGATGAAAAGGTACAGGAGTCCTGCAACATAAAAGACAGCTGCTTCTCCTGCTGCATTGCAGCTCAGTCAAGACTAATTTTTGTTCCTGCTGAATATAATGCCCTATCAGGCCATTCCATGCATGTTTACCTAGAAATAAGTCCTGATGAATTCAAACTCTCTTGTTTCATGGATCAGAATAGGAGAGAAGACCTCATACCAGAATGGGGTTCTACAAGTTTTATCATCTTCTTCTAACTTATAGTTAATTGTGTCTTGCCTTTCTGTTCCATGAAGGGCTGTTTCTGTTGTAGAAAAGAATCTGATCTAGTGAAAGCTTGTGCTCCTGTTAGTAGAAACTGTAGTATGTATTTGTATGTGTGTGTATATATCTGTGCCTCCTCCCATCCAGTTCTGCCAGAGTCACTTGTTCCAGCCAGGCTGGGTGGCTGAGGGGCCTAACACCAAGGGAGGTCAGGAAGGAAAGAACAAGGAACTGGGCCTTCTCAGCAGTGGCCCCTTGCCTCTGGAACATCCTGCCCGGGGAGATCCGCCTGGCTCCCTCTCTGGGTGTATTCAGAAGAAAAGTCAAGACCTGGCTTTTTGGGCAGGCTTTCCCTCCTGCCATATCTTAAATTCACATTTTGCCATTGTGGATTTATAGTATATATTTATTGGGTTTTTTCTGTTTTAAATTTGTAATGCCACCCAAAGTAGACCTGGGGTAGATGGATGGGGTAGAAGTCCAGTAAAATAAATAAATAAATCTGTCTTCAAAGTGGTGATGAAGATGTTTTATCTCATGTACAGTTTAATTCCACAGATTGTTAAAATAAATCTTTTTCTACGTTACAGGTCCAAGTTTTGAAAGTGCTTGTTAATTTATCAGCAAACACAGCCATGACAAAAGATCTTCTTAATGCTCAGGTAAAACTCCCTCCCAATGCTTCTTCCAGTAATTCTTGTTTAAATAGACTTTAACATTTGAAAACTAAAGCTTACAGGTCACTGAGGATGGGATTTTAAGATTTCTTGGACTACAAATTCCATAATTCCCCATTTTAGGAGCTCACATTTTTATACAGGGACATTAAATGTGGCTCATCTGGAAGAAAAGGGCTTAGCTAGGCCTAGTCCCATCCCTGCTTCCTGTTCCTGGCCAGCAGTTAGCTTGAGAGTTTTCTTTCGGGGAAGCAAGTAGAACTAGGCCCCCAATCAACTAACAGCTCTTCCTACTTCCTAACGTGGGGAGACAGGGAGCAAAAGACAGAAGTTTGAGTTCTTTTTCTCTTCCATTTCTCTGTTTTAATGCTTGATTTTCTCTCCTTCATTCCTGAGTGGAATAGAAACAAGCAAGAGGCCCTGTTCTTAATGAGGCACAGCCTGAAACACTGAGGAGCTCTCCTCTTAAAGGGCAGGATCAATACTTGAGATCTTTTGGCCCTGCTTCCTGAACAAAAGGGCTTAGCCCTCATTTACATGCTCCACACCCATGACCAAGAATGAAGGATTGCTCATGTGCTGGAATATTTGTCATCAGATTCTATTTTATTAAACAAATGGTGATGATAGTGTACCAACTACCTGCTTCACTCTCATTATTACAAATGATGATGTCTAATCTGTTTTGCAGACAAACACCCACACAAGTATTTCAGATTGCTGCCAAATAACAAGTGTACCAATACTATTATATTTTCCAATTAGAAAGAAAATCTATGCATTGGATGAGTGAACAAGTTCAAGTTAACTCTTAATGACCATGACTAGCCATTACTTGTGTATTTTAACCTTCCAGGCACCTTTCCTGTTGTCCCTGCTCGATGGAAGCATAAACAAAGAAGTTTTGCTCAGATTTCTGCTGTTTGCCACGAACCTGACGAAGAATATGAAAAAGGAGAAGAATACCACTGTCAGTCAATACAATGAAGATTCTATTTTTTCTGTTCTGTGGGGGAATTCCACACTGTGTGCTCAGAAACTTGCAGCTTTATTGTACCATCATGACACAGAAATCAGAGAACAAGTTGCTGAACTGATAATGCAGCAAGGCTGAAATCGGGCAGTGAACTGTAAAAGCCTCTCATAATCTTGAATTTATGAAAAATGAATGGACTATGGTGTATTGCAGCACTTGCTTTTCAGTGCAGGAAGTTTTCTATAAATGCAACTCTCCTAAACATTCACAGACCTCCAATAGTTCTGGATAGAAGTTACAGAACTGTTACATTTCTTTTGTATGCACAGAATCACTTCAACTATGACGGAACTGCATATGCACACTGAAATATGCTATTTTAGAGTAGGAATCAAAAGCCTGCAGCAGTTCAGAAGATATTGTACTCTGCTCCTGTCCATGTCACTAGTGTCTAAGGCTTATGAAGTAGGATTCCTGTAACATGCAGATGATTGCTTGCCTACTCTTCCCCTTAGAGCTCTACCATCTTGCTGTTTTGCCAGGCACATTTTCTTTTAATATAGCTTGTTTTTCTACAGAAATTTCAACTGCATTATTTGAAAATGCTATGTATTCTCATTTAGACCTTTCTGAAATATGGACCTCAATGGGCAGTTGTTATCTGGAGAATGTGATCTCAGAATATCCTAACTGTATTTCAGACCTGCAGAGGTGTGGGCTTCCACACTGAGCTCACTGGAGTAGGAAACTTCATACAGATGTGGATACATCTACTTCTAATGTAAACGAGACACCTTGTGTACAGCAGGCTGCTGTGCTGTCGTAGGTATTTAGTATGCCTATATCAAGCAACTATAATGCAACTTTTAAAAGCACGCTGCTTATATACCATCTCGTATTGCTTAAAGCATACTCTGGATAGTTCACAAGTTAATTATGGAGGCTACATATTGCTCCCCTCCTCCCCAGCAAGCTGGGTATTCATTTTACCAACCTTGGAAGGATGGAAGGCTGAGTGAACCTTGAGCTGGCAACCTGGGATTGAACCCTGGGTCATGAGCAGAGTTTGGCTGCAGTACAGCAGTTTTACCACTGCACCATGAGGCTCTTCTAAACTAATGTGTTATTTTCAGAGGCCTTAATGTTTGGTTACTGGGAATAATAATATTGAACATTTTAAGAACGTACTTCTGCATATTAAGCCCTCTGAAAATAACACATTAGTTTGCAAACTTGATGACATCTACTTTTAGACTTGTGAAGAGAATCAGATTCTGCAATTAGGTTTGTAGAAAAGATCACATCTAAATTATGTTTACTTTTATTTATATCCTGCCTTTAGGGTACAAATCCTCCAAAAACTGCTCACAAATAATAAAGTCACATCAGTTTTAGAATATCATAACTTCTAATTCTTGGTTCTCTCTCCTGGAAAAATTTCAAGATTTCATACTTGAGAAAAACCAAGTATTTGTCACCCAGTACCTTGCTGTTGACTCTGAACAACCTATTTTGACTGCGCCCAAGTTATTCCTTGATACTGTAACACGGTGAAAATTCTTCCTAGTTTGTAGTTGAGTCTAATCGTTGCATCACATTGGCTGTCAAACTAATGCTCTGTTGGTCCCTCAGTGTGCTTTTAGATTTACAAAACAAAAATGCAGGCATGCTAAGAATCTTTCAGAAGGAACTGAGGCAGTTATTTGAGTCAGTGACTGCAAGTTACATTGGTCCATATCCTGTTTGTATAACTCTGTGGCTGCTGATGTCATCAATTTTATAAAAAATGAAGACAAAAATGTTGTGGCATCTTAAAGACTTGCTGTATTTTAATGTAGGCCTTCATATCTTGTTCACAAAAGCTCACATTAAAATACTGTATAGTAGTTTTTAAGGTGCCACAATGTTTTGTCTTTTTGTTTTCCTGATATGCTAGCACAAACTAAAACAGCTACTCTCCTCTACAACAACAGGTTAGGTTCCAAGAGCAGGATGAGAAGCATTGCATTAATTTAAAATAAATTTTATCAGTTTGAGCTGATGACATCAGCTTCTACCATTGAAAGTTAAACAGAATTTGGGCCAGTATAAATCTGATAGCTAAGTGAAGATTTAAACTCAGGCTTCCCAGACTCTCTCTCTAGATGACAGTTTGATACAGGCTTTTGAGACATGGAAAACTACTAAATATAACTGAAACGTGTTGAATCAAGTAATATTTAAGACACAATATAGCTGCTTCTGTCATGCTGAAGCCAAACCATAAACAGTACAATGAGAATAACTTCGCTTAATTAGACAGCACTAATAACAAACAATGCACTGGAAAGAGGGTAAAAAGGAACATTCAGAATTTATTAATGGATTTGAAAGTGAAATAGATTCTGAAAAGCAATAATCAGCTCTGGTGTCCTAACAATATACATCTGTTCAAAAATACTGTGTAATAAAATGACATAACTTCTGAGCAAGTATTTTTTTATTCTCTAAATTAGTATAACAGTTCAATGTAGGTAGATTTGGCTATGTTTTACAGTGCCAAACAAACTCATAATCATATCATGCGTTCATTTTTATAAGCAAACTGTGTACACTTTTCATATCATTCTCTTAAAACATTTTGTTTAGAATTTTATAATTGGCAAGAGAAAGGAGCAAAAAACAAACTGAATAAAGATTTCAAAGAACAACAAAGTAATGGGGTCAGTTATGTAATCTATTTGCAACTTTGATTTTCAAACCACAGAAATATTCTGTGTTAAGGAGCAATTTCACAGTGACAACACAATGTGTGTCTTCAGATATTCTGGCCAGCAGTAAAATAAACAGGCATTTTCTACACAGTTAAAACTTTTAAAAGGCACATTTCATCAGATCACTTCAAAACTTGGCTCTTACATTTGCAAATGAAAATTTACAGACATTCAGTAAAAGCAGTACTTTGTTTAAAATGTGCTTCAGCAACAACTGTGTTGGAAGACTGTCTCAAAAAACCACAACAGAACACATATAATTTCAAAAGGCACAGGACACACCCTGCGGTGAATAATCTGCTCAAGAGAGATAAACAGACCAAAGTTTATTCACATTTAGCCTGCAATGTATTCAAAATATTTCATTTACTTCAGTGCAACTTACAAAGTGATGAACTTACTTCAGAGCAGTGTTATCTTTAATTAGATTATTTATTTTTTTAGCTTGCAGCCTAATTTTAAAAAATCTAATCAAACTATTACACTTGTTTGTTGAGCTACCATTAAATGTGGAAGCCTAAGCATGCCTAATAGAATTTACAGTTATTACTGAGGGCTTTGTGTCTGAGTAAACATGCACAGGACTGGACTGTCAGCTTTACAGGACGGATTGCAGATCCTAATCACAGTAACCAAAATAGTAACTGATTTCAGTGGGATTCATTTCCAAGGAAGTGCTTTTTTACATTTTTCAGAAGGCTGCTATCTAGATACCTTCATGATTAACAAAGTTTTGTACTCTAATACCACTGCATTCAGATACCTTCCACAATGCTCTTGCTGATCAGATGATTAGTGAGAGTGGGGCAGTTCAAGAGTCCTCTGCTCCCAAAGGAGGCAGGAAGGGGTTCAAAAGGACAGCAGTATACACACCATAGGCCAGTGTGTGCATGGATTCTAGACTGAAGCCTTCACCCATCTATACATGCAATCCAGGCTGATGCTTGTTCGTTATGATAGCAGGCCCAGGGTGGTGGTGGGAAAGGCATGCAGAAATACATAAATCACTTTCTCTGGCAGAAAACCAGTTTCTACAAATGCATGCACCAAGCTGGCATGCGCAAGCAGGGCTCTGACCCTGTCTCAGTCACTAGACCAGCACTGAACTAAGAAGCTACTTTTTAAATTTAGGGAAGGGAAACTCACTCATCAATGCCGAGTGCCAAGAAGCATGAGTGCACATGCATCATGCAGGATGGGTCTTCTGGTCAGTGGCCTAAAGCAAGTAATTCCCAGCAGGTGACCTGTATTGGTGTTTCAATGCATATGTTATTCCCCCTCCACACCCACCTCAAATTAACATTTTAAAATGTGAAATCTTTACTTCGCAGGCAATGTAATCAGCTACTTATTTACAGGTTATCTGTAGCTATGCTGATGTCATCTAGTGTGGTTATTTCATGTAGTGGTTAAAAACTGGACATTTTATAGCGCTTATCTGCAAAGATTTAAGAGGATCGTCGGATTGGAAAAGCACTCCTGAAATCTTAAAAATTATATTTAAATTTACAAAATTATCAATCTTAATTGATTTCTCAAATAAGGTTCATAAGAAATAGAATTTCTGTTTTATTCAAATCCGTCATCATTTATATTTATGTCTCGTGACTCGCCGTGCTTTAAGACAAAGAAATCATCCGTCTTCAATCCATATCTCTCAAGAGCTTCTTTCAATTTAGCTGGAGGATCCAAGTAGTACTGTGGAGAAAATAAGCCAGGTCAGTATTAAGTAAAGTATATTTTAATCTGTTGATATTACACATGTTAGTTTTACACATTTAGATGGAAATTCGGGCTCCACTTAATTGAGATATGTTCTGTCTTTGGAAATAGTATCTGTTGAAATCCTCATGCTAACTTCCAACATGGCTACCCATCCAAACATATTGTACTTCTGTGAGAATCCGCAACAAAGTTAGGTAAAAATTATTCTGCTACTCCAAGACTAGTTAACAAATAAAGCCAGATAAAGATGTTGTTAGGAGTCGGCCTGTTCATCTCAATGGTACAGTGGGGTCTTGACTTAAGAACGCCTTGAGTTAAGAACATTTTGACTTAAGAACCACTCTCATAGGAAAATATTGGTAAAAATTATTCTGCTACTCCAAGACTAATTAACAAATAAAGCCAGATTAAGATGTTGTTAGGAGTCAGCCTGTTCATCTCAATGGTATCTCAAAAGTCATTTAGGTCAGAAATGTGTAGTAAGGCCTGTCACTCACACTTTGCTCTCTAGGCAACAGAACAGCAGGACCAAAAAGCCAAGTTTGAAAACATCTGTTCTATTAACATTTCCTTGGCAAACTGTAATGTTTTGTTTGTGTTGTTATTCAGTTGCTTATATTTTCTTACTAAAGGCCTTCAAAATTCTGCTTTATAAAAGTACAAGCAAGCTACTAGTGAAATGTATAAACAAAAGGCAGCTTCCTATTTTAAGAACAGTGACAGATCAATGACAAAGAACAGTACTGTTGCCCTATAAGAAATATAAAGTCCAGTGCATGCACGGTCAGAAAAATTATAATTATTGGAAGTTACAGTGAGTCTGAGGAACTCTAAATGATTTAATTTATGCAGCACATAGACAAATTGGGATACATGTAATATATGAAATCCACAAACACCAGCACAGCTTCAATAAAAAAGAAGAAAGTCTAAAACTTGATAAAGCCTGGCTCCCAGCACTGAAAAATACAGCCTGCAAAAAGGTCAATGAACTCTACCCAACCACAAGGATCGGTGATCACTGCACACAAAAGACTAGCTAACAACACCCATCATTCACAGTGAAAGATCATCTCCCCCCTTATCACAACAACACATCCATAACAAAAAACACCCTGATCACCGGAATCACCCAATTTCCTGAAAGAACAAGAACCTGATCCCACCGCTACAAATACTCAACATCCCACACACTACACCAGAACCAATTTGTATATACTTGTGTTTATTTAAAATAATTTACTACATACTGTCTTTTCAGACAAAGCCTCTTCAAAATGCAAGTCTGCAGTGTTATTTCATTCATTCACTTGAGGCCTGCTATTCCATAAACTGGTATGGAGGGATTTAGGGGACTGTTGGATAACTATACCCACCCACCAAAAATCTTAAAAATTTGTTTAAATATTACAAATTGTAATCTTGGTTATTATTTTAGAGCTCTTGCTTGTCAAAATCACATGAAGCACTACAAGGTTCATACATTATTTTGGGCTAAACTGGAAATTCCAGAGGCCATTGTCCTCATCATTTTTCTCATCCTTTTATCCATCCAGCCCTCCATTCCATCAAAGAACATGCTCCGAGGGGCTTCCTCATCCACCAGAACTGGTTTTGGAGGGCCAAATGTGTGCCTTTAATGGGGAACATAAATTCTCCTGGTTCTGATGGGTTCTGCTCCACTAGTGGAAGTCCAAGAAGTGGACACAAGTGTGCCCTCTGCGAGCATCATTTTTTAGTACATGATGAACTGCAGCCCAGCCAGATTTCATGAAACCGTTTAGCAGTTTATACAGGTGGCTGATCAGAGGCAAAGGGACAGTTATCCTGCTGACAGACAAAGTGTATCTCCATTACACAGTTACAGCACTTTGATTCCTTAAAGGTGCCTTGAATTCTCTGTTGTGGTTTAAGGGAATGAACAACAGCAATCTTACTTAGAATTCAATTCCTTCACCAGACTACAAATCCCAGAATTCCATAAGATGAAGCCATGGCAACTGAAGGGGAATCAAAGCGCTGTAGATGTGTAATTCAAAATAATGTATAATAATAGTAATAACGATAAAATTCTGTCTTATGGCTACTTTTCCATTGTTTAATAATGATGATGATATGCCATCAAGCCCATTCTGATTTATGGCGACCCTTTCCAGGGTTTTCCAGGAAAAGAATACACAGAAATAGTTTACCATTCCCTTCTTGTGGGGGCTGCCTGGGATTGTGCAGATTGCCCAAGGCTATACAGGCTGGCTCTCCTCCTAGGGGGCATAGCAAGAAATCAAACTTCCAACCTCTGGCTCTGCAGCCAGACACCAACTCACTAAGCTATCCAGTCACCACTGTGTAATACGGATACAGTCAAAGTCACCCAGAACTGCCTTGAGTTAAATGCCTCCTCTTATCAGCATTTTTAAAATTACTTAAGTCATAAGTACTTTGTACTTTAGACTGTGAGACCTGAGGAGGGCTGCTAGTGATAGGAACTTCTGGAGCTCACTAATTCATAATGTCACCATAAACGGGAAACAACTGTAATCATGAAACAACACCTTGCAGTAATGAGTATGCTTCTTAATAACAGAGGGGGAAATGAAACTGAGGCTGAAAATGTCTGTGGCTTTTTTGTTCTCCCTCATAGATAAAGACCAGGATAGTCTACCAACAATTAAATTGTCCTTTGAACAATGACTCCCAGACACATGTCAATAAAATGGGGTAAGCAAAGGTAAAGGTTCCCCTTGACATTTAGTCCAGTCATGTCTGACTCTAGGGCGTGGCGCTCATCCCCCTCTCCAAGTCGTAGAGCCAGCGTTTGTCCGAAGACAGTTTCTGTAGTCACATGGCTAGCACAACTAGACACGGAACGCCGTTACCTTCCCACCATGGTGGTAGCTATTTATCTACTTGCATTTACATGCTTTCAAACTGCTAGGTTGTCAGGAGCTGGGACAAGCAACAGGAGCTCACTCTGTTGCCTGGATTCAATCTTGCGAGTGCTGGTCTTCTGACCTTGCAGCACAGAGGCTTCTGCAGTTTAACTCGCAGCGGCACCATGTCCATAAATGGAGTAGAAGTTCCTTTAAATTCTCCTCTCTTTGCAAAATACCAACAAAGTTGGCCACAATGGCTTGAGAAGGACTCCTCGGGAACAACTTGGTGAGGCAAGGAGCCTGTTGCTAGGTGGAATGAAAATACATAAATGCCTTCTACTTATAAAAATGTTGGCAAGAATCTCATAACATTGAGAAGGTAGCAAGTCATGACTGTTAATTATATAATTGCTGAGTTTACTGTAGCCACTAATTGTAGCATATGAAGTGCTTGTTATATGAACAGAATTACATATTAAAGAGGACTGACTGAGCACTTCAGGAAAGCATAACAGACCTCACCCAAATCTAGTAGTCAACAACAGAGGTTTACACCAGGAGTCCTTCGTCAACACTCAAAGAGGTGGTCAGGAATATATTTTATTACTATGTCAATTGTGATTATGTCTGAAGATGTCACCCCTTGCCTTAACTGCTGTTTATAATGTTGCTTTGTGTTTCCCTACAGAACGAGTAGCAGCTTTTCCTTACGGAATCACTAGTCAGGGACTAATCCTGTTTGTTAATCCAAGAATCTCAGTCACTGAGAATCAATCCTTGTTCTATATGTATAGCTCTCTCTTCTTTTTCTACAGAGCCCTCTCCTGAGTTGCTATATTGTTAGAGTTAGAGATAGAAAATAAATTCAGTGATATTACATTTCATTGAGAAATACCACTTTCTAGAATTCATAACAAAATGAAATGCACCTTATCTCAGAAACCTGTGGATTTAGCATGCACTAGATAAAAAGAAAAGAAAAGAAAAAAGACAAGCATGCTTTAGTCAATAGAAAAAGCAAATAAAAGGCACACAAGTATACACAATTTTTGAATAACATGCATAAAAATGCATGAATTTCCGTGTGCCAAGAAGAAAGCAGAGAACTGGAATGGAATGAAAAGCCAATGGGATATTCCAACACATTGAGAACAAGACAGAAAGATTTCCTCATTACTAGAGTACAGCAGAAAAACTGAGAACTCATACATATGACATGGATTTTGAGAAAGAACATACAGGCTTAGGAGATCTTCAGACCAGGGAAATAACTGCCAAACATTTTGCCTACAATTTCAACCGAAAAATAGTTACGTATTTAGTCTGTGAAGAAACTAAACTTAGACTCCATCTTGAAAAATGAGTCTTCTCTGTGGATGCCTGAGAAAAGCAAGCTGGGGATGTGTCCGCCCAGTAACAAGGAGGGGGTAAAGTCTGCAGCTTATCTCTGGTGAGAGAGGCCTTCAAGGCCAAGTTAGCTGCTCCCCTGGTACCACACTAATTGAGACATGATTTTAACTGTGGGAAGGGAGGAGAGCAGAAAATGCTCTGGTCTTCTAAAACATTTGAAGGAACTCAAAGCCTAATTGGCAGACTATCTGGAAAGATCCAGAATGATTTAGACCATTTAATATATATAAAAAGGTTCAGAAATTGCTTTAGTTGGTTTATCTTCCCTCTCAGGAGATGCTGTGCTCAGTTCTGGTTCTGCCACACCTTGCCTGGACAGATTCACTCTAAAAAATCTCTCCAATTGTCTGAGTTTTTGACTGAGAGTGTTTGCGGTACTAAAACCACATCTTGCCTTGCCAGCTACTGGGAGTTTTGGTATTTTTAGGGTGTGGTGCCAATCCACCTAGCAAGGTGGGTTCTAAAGTGCCTAACTCTGTCGATTTTGGACTCCCTGGAAGCACAATCAAGTCTGGGAAGACTGGGGTGTTGGTAGATACTGATGCCAGGCTGTTTCCATAGTCCTCACCACAGCTGACTCTCCTAGGTTCACCTACCCCAGAACAAACAGGGTAGTATGTCTCAGTGGTTAGAGGACACCCTGACCTGATAAATATCATATAGTCCACTTAGACACAAAACTATATTTGGAAATACAGTCTGAGTACATTTTCTATCCCTGTTTCTTGATTACCTTACCTGACATTGACAAAAAAATATCAGTAGTAGTAGTACTTTTATTGGCATAAAGAGAATAAAACATAAACAAACTGGTTCATTAAGTGCCTCACACATACAAAATCCAGGTGGGAGGAAAACAGAAGACCAAACCCCCTAAAAACATTTAATTGAAAGCAATGCTTCGCTTTCTCACAATTGAACTGATGAAATCTGCAATTCAAAAAAGCTGATAATTTTTTTTCCAAAATAATAATAATTATGAGCTTTACTAAGATACCAGCAAAAGTCCAGCAAAACTGCTTATGAAGAACACAAACTGGGTTTGACCAGATGCAATTACCTGGATAAGGATTCTAATAAACATGACAAGACCACATGCTTGTTATACATAGCTATTAATATATAGGTAAGCACATGAAGCAGTAAAATTCACAGCCCCTCTCGTAATATGAAAATCTTAAAAATCTCCTTTAAGGTGAAAGATGAAACAAGAAGCTTGAAAACTGCTCCCATTATTTAGCTACAGCATCTTGTCAATTCACAAATCATGTGCCAAGTCTGATTAATCTGCCTGAAGAAATAAATCCAGAGACTAACAACATACCTGCAAGAGAACAGTGTGCTCATCTGTTTTTGCTTCCTTCACTCAAGATAAGTAATTCTGATGTATTAGATATGATTAAATGGCCAAGCCATACTCAATGCAGAATGTTTTTTCCTGAAGAGGTGCTGAGGCAGGAGGTGAGCTGTGTTTGGGAGGACATTTTATTTGCTGAGGTATTTTCACCTAGGCTGACCTTTGTTCTCCCTGACCGCATGGTCTGAGGGTGCGGGGTTTTGGCTTTAAATCTCTGATTTTATTTTTGACTCTAATTTGGTAAATAGGAAAGCCAAATAGCATTGCATACACCTGGGGGGCAGTAAAGTTTTAGGGGTAGGATCAGACTTCCTCCCTTTTTTAATTTACTGACCTACCACTCGAGAAGGAGAGTGCAGGATCTGTTGCACTTGTAACATCTGTGGCATATTTGTTTTCTTGCCAATGAGGTGCCTGGGTAGAAATACTCTAAGTGTTAGTTGGTGCTCCTCTTGGAAGACAAGGTCTGGCAGCTCAAGGCCTGTGTTCTAATTCCCACACTCTTAGGGAGCAGGCCAGGTAGGTGGGGCTCGTCAGCCTTGGAAGGCAGCCCATCTAGGAGAAGGAAAACTCCGATTTCAAACCTCCACTGCTTTGTGGCTATATCCACTGATGGAAAAAGCTTCAGGACTTAACCTTGAGGCAAAACCCAGAGCCGGAATACCAGAGGCAATTCATGTCGTTCTGGCAATTCCTGTGATGTCGCTGGAACCAACTGTATTGGCTCTTGCCTTTCCATTGGACTATTTTAGCAACGTGGAGAGGGGGGATTTGCTGCTTGGGTAACAGCCTATCCTCCATATTATTTTACCCAG